CACTTACTCACTCAAAAACTCGTGCATATGCGTATTTATTTTTTTTTTGTACGTCTGTTTGTATGTATGTTTGGTTTTTTCGCGGGCTGGTTGGTAGGTTGGTTGAAAGGTTGATACTTTGGCTGTTTGGTTAATAAATCGGTTGTTTCGTTGGTTGTTTCGTTGGTAATTTGGTTGACTGTTTGGTCGGTAAGCTCTGTGTGTGTGTGTGTGTGTGTCCAAGCTGGTGTACTTGAAACCGCTCCTTTCTTACTCTACCATTTAAGAAAAAATTTCTTTTGTATATGTGTTTGTTTGTGTGTATTTGTTAATTTTTTGGTGACATCATTTGTTTGTTTCTCCGTTCGTTCATTTGTTTGTTGATTTATTGATTTATTTGTTTTAATAGTTATTTAAATTTAGACATAATATTTGAAAAAATATTTGATGTATATCGAATATGCTGATTACCTAACAATAAAACGTTTTCAATGTCTATCACGCAGTTAAAAATTGTTCTCACGTCGTCAATGCTGTCGTTCAATCAACAGTCTATTAATGAATGTTCGAAAATAATTCACATTTTGACTTGTTTCAATTAATTTCGACAAATTTCAACTTAAATTCGAGTGAATTTCAAGCTATGAATTGCACTTGCTCGGCTCGCAATCGAACCCTCTACGAGAAGGTCTACAGAAAACGGTCGGCACTAATATTGGCCGGACCGCTCGAAATCTTGATGTTTTCGATATATAATATCATGATTCGACTGAATTGTTATCATTACCTGTGTATCACCGAACACACAGTATAGCACGATTTTTTAATTTGACGCTGATATAGTAATGAAATTAATAATAGCAATAGTAAAAAGGTCAGTAGCCATGCAGTAATAATACTTATTCAACGAGTTCGTATAATTACACCTACTTACATTACTTATACTTGCACGCACACGCACGCGCACATACACACATACATAAGCTACATAAGCACGTACATGATGATCGTACGATCAACCAACATATGGAAGGAAGTTTTTTAAATTTTATTAAATCACTTTGTTTTTAAGATTTATTGAAAGATAAGTATTATTGAAACGGGATTGGTAATTCGGAACGAAACCTTTTGGGGAAATGACGTCATTTTAAAAGTACTTTTACAGTACGTTAGTGAATTAGCCGGAATAAACATTGTATTCGATTCCTATAAATAGATAGATATGTGTAGTTATTAAATATATATATATATTTATTTATACATTTAAATTTTACAATTAAAGTGAAGTAAGGTGTGTGGAGTCAAATTATTTTGAATTCTCTCGGAATAATTTGATTTGAACCGCGCGCGTACATACACATGTAACATTGATTTCTGTTGGTTTTATAATGTAGTTATATAAAATATATATATAAAGAATTTAGAATTCATGTATACAAATAATTACCAAGATTATATGTTTATCTAAAAAGAAATACAGCAGTTCCAACCAGTCAATCAATCAGAATGTTTCGAAGTTTGAGTAGCTCTGTTGTCAAGAATGTATATTAGTGTATTACATAAAATCAAAAACCAATAACATTCAATCGATAAAATTTTTACAGATGTTAATGATTGAATTTATTGTAAGTATAATATATAAAGGAAATGAAGTAAAAGAAATACATTTTTTCATTTTTATGTAAAAAAGGAGTGATCTCGATTAAATTTGAATACAACTAGCTAAAAGTATACACACACTCGAACCTTCCCATCAGGAAGTTCGTAGGCGGTCGTTGAATTCATTTTAGTATAGTTAATGTATTGTTGTTAAACACATATAATAATGTTTCCTATACATTAAATAAAGTTTTTTAATGATGTCAATGATTGAAATGATAAGAATATATGAATGGAACTGGTATAAATAGGAGCCGAAAATGCGTTGAAATCCGACCGGGCGCTTTAGGGCATTCCCTTAGCGCCTGGTCCCTTTTTTTATTTCCTTATTTTATTTTTTAGTTAAATTGTTTATTATTGCTAGACGTATTCGTTACTTATTATTACGTAATATTATTTTCGTTATATTTTAGTTAAGTTTAGTTAAGTTGTTTATTATTTCTAGATCATTCGTTACTTATTATTACTAGATTTGTTCGTTTATTTTATTCGTTACTTGTTATTCCTAGATTTATTCGTTTATTTTATTCGTTACTTATTATTTCTAGATTTGTTCGTTTATTTTATTGTTATTATTATTGCGCGGTCATACATACACCCACACAAACACACACATACATACATACATCCATATATTCGTTGTTTTGTTTGCTTGATGTTTTATTCTATTTTCCTTACTTTTTTCTTCGTAATTGTACAAATAGGTAGGATTAATTCGTAAGTTGAGCTAATTGAACATAGGTAGGTGAGTTAATTTAGAAAACATAGGTAAGTTAGGGACTCTATTCTTTCTTACGTTCTAGTTTATCTGTATTGTATTTTGTTCAACACAACACCAACAGCAGCAATCAAACACAACAATCAACACAATATTATTTTCGTTATATTTTAGTTAATTTTAGTTAAGTTTTTTATTATTTCTAGATCATTCGTTACTTATTATTACTAGATTTGTTCGTTTATTTTATTCGTTACTTATTCCTAGATTTATTCGTTTATTTTATTCGTTACTTATTATTTCTAGATTTGTTCGTTTATTTTATTGTTATTATTATTGCGCGGTCATACATACACCGACACAAACACACACATACATACATACATCCATATATTCGTTGTTTTGTTTGCTTGATGTTTTATTCTATTTTCCTTACTTTTTTCTTCGTAATTGTACAAATAGGTAGGATTAATTCGTAAGTTGAGCTAATTGAACAAAGGTAGGTGAGTTAATTTAGTGAACATAGGTAAGTTAGGGACTCTATTCTTTCTTTCTTTCTTACGTTCTAGTTTATTTGTATTGTATTGTATTGTTTTGTTCAACACAACACCAACAGCAGCAATCAAACACAACAATCAACGTAATATTATTTTCGTTATATTTTAGTTAAGTTTAGTTAAGTTGTTTATTATTTCTAGATCATTCGTTACTTATTATTACTAGATTTGTTCGTTTATTTTATTCGTTACTTATTATTCCTAGATTTATTCGTTTATTTTATTCGTTACTTATTATTTCTAGATTTGTTCGTTTATTTTATTGTTATTATTATTGCGCGGTCATACATACACCCACACAAACACACACATACATACATATATCCATATATTCGTTGTTTTGTTTGCTTGATGTTTTATTCTATTTTCCTTACTTTTTTCTTCGTAATTGTACAAATAGGTAGGATTAATTCGTAAGTTGAGCTAATTGAACATAGGTAGGTGAGTTAATTTAGAAAACATAGGTAAGTTAGGGACTCTATTCTTTCTTACGTTCTAGTTTATCTGTATTGTATTTTGTTCAACACAACACCAACAACAGCAATCAAACACAACAATCAACACAATATTATTTTCGTTATATTTTAGTTAAGTTGTATATTATTTCTAGACCTTCGTTACTTATTATTTCTAGACTGTCGTTTTATTATTAACCCATTCATGAACGGCTGCCTTGACGTGGCGAGGGGGCTTCTCACTAAATGCCGTTCAAGTTTGTGCTTCTCCTTCTTTACTTGTTTTGTTTTTTTGAAAATGCGATTCTCTATCATTCTCTTGGTTGCATTTTTTAGCGCACTCTCAAACATGGGTTACATTTGCATTTGCAACGAATTACCCATTTTATTTAATAAATTTTATTTGATGTTTTTTTAATTAGTCAGGTCACAATCATCATCATCATCGATATCGCAATGAAATCAAATTGAGAATTTTTTAAATTTTTGAAAAAAGTATCTTTATTCGTTTTATGATACTACTTTGTTCAATGAGATACTGTTTATTAGAAGGTTGGACAGATTTTGTCTGCAACACTTTTTCCTACTTAAAATATTTTATGCGAGAATTGAACTAAAACGACCGACATCAATTTATTGAGAAGCAAAGAATCAACTTCGACAACGTTAATTACCTTCATAGTATAAAAGGGATTTGTTATTATTACTTTCAAAGATAACTGCTAAAAAATAAATTAATAACGTTCTACTTATGCTGACATGATGAGTTGATAAGGGTTACCATTATTATTATTATCATTTTTATTATTATTGTAATTAACGTTTATGTTATTATTGCTGGCAAGTTAATAATAAAATAATCGCAGATCACTGGAATGATAATAATTGCACTTAAGAGATGTGAACGAAATAACTCGAACGCTTTGATGGTGGTGATTATGGTAATGGTCATCACCATCATCATCATCAGACGACTACGACGATGATGTTCAAAGTTGTAATTATGATAATGATGATGATGAGGATGATGAAATTTCCTAATAATTTGTTGATTAAGCAACTACTACGTATATTCATACTTATTCATCCATTCATTCATCCATCCATTCATTCATTCAATCAATCATTCAATATGTAAACTATCCATCGATCCATCGATCCATCAATCCATCCATCCGTCCGTCCGTCCGTCCGTCCGTCCGTCCGTCCGTCCGTCCGTCCGTCCGTCCGTCCATCCGTCCATCCATCCGTCCATCCATCCATCCGTCCATCCATCCATCCATCCATCCATCCATCCATCCATCCATTGTTAGTCTCATTCGACATCAGTGCTTCGAAATGCTGCTGGAACGAAAAGAAACATTTTATTTTTAGTGGTCTGTCTTTCTGGTGACGATGATGGTGATGGCGATGAAGACGATGATGGTGACGATAATAATAATGAAATTTTCTACCATTAACATAAATTTATAAATTGCCATCAAAAGATGAACGCCATCTTCTTCGCCATCTTGAGCTTCGTAACAGTCATCATCACCATCATCATCACCATCATCATCACCACCATCATCATCACCCTATCACCATCATCGTCATCCTCATCGCCAAAAGTTGTAATGTAAGAGCGTCACTTCATTCCAGCTTGTACTCTTTAAGAAGAGCATTGCCATAGGAAGATGATAGTTGTATGTAGGAACTCATATCGATCATCGCATTTGTCAGGGGGGTGCAAGGCTTGACCACCACCATGGCGGCGGGGGGGACGTAAGAAAATCTTGAGTGGGTCGTTATCGCCGTGGCTGATGAAGTTGATGATGCAGATGCAGATGAAGATGACGAATGTTTGTCAGCTGACGAGGCGATTGATAGCAATGTCTGAGGAACCACCATGTTCAACTTCACGCAACTTTGAAGAGATGATGATGATGGTAATGATGGTGATGATAATGACGATGCTGATGATAATGATGATGCTGATGATAATGATGACCAGGCTGAGGCACTTGCTGATACAGACGATGATATTTTTGAATTCGAAATCACGGAAGAGGAAGAAGATGATGATGACGATGATGACGAAAACAAAGATGGCGGCGTTCTGTCAAAAGGCCTCCAGACAAGAGTTTGAGATTTGTTGGCGTTCGGCGGTGAGAGAGATGATGGTGAGAGGATGTTTTGCAGGTGGTGGCAGTCTGTGATGATGGAAGGACAATGAGGGAAGGCTGGTCTGCTGGGTGGTCAACAATAAACATTTTTACAACTCATCTGATATTATTATAGTATGGGAGTTAAGACGCCTCTTTCAGCTGCTGCAGTGACCGAGTTCGATGACAGAGTAATCTCCGCCTGTCACACGTCACTGCATACTCACAAGTGTGTGTGCGTGTGCGTGCGTGTGTGTGTGGTGTGTAAGTGTGTTCTGATACCTGCGAGAATAAATTAAGAAAGAAATAATTAAGAAAAAAAAATTAAGAAAATAAAAATTAAAAATAATTAAGAAAAAAATTAAGGAAGAAATAATAATAATAATTTAATAAAAACACTTTTTGAAAAACACTCTAATTCAATTGCTTTTATGTCATTTTTAATATTTTGAAGCTTCTTTATTTTATTAGCGGATAGATGTTAAGTACGTGGAATCATAAAACTAACCAATCACAAAACTGACCAATCACAAAACTGACCAATCACAAAACTGACCAATCATAAAACTAACCAATCACAAAACTGACCAATCACAAAACTGACCAATCATAAAACTATCCAATCACAAAACTATCCAATCACAAAACTGACCAATCACAAAACAAACCAATCGCAAAACTGACCAATTGCAAAACTGACCTATCACTGACTGATGCCCGCTGGCCAACTTCCTTTCCGGGATCAACTTTGATTTCCACATCCATCCACCATTCAATGGCTCTCAGGATGCTAATATTAGATGGCGATGATGACGACTTTGAAAATTTTTTGTCCGTTTGTTCGTATTTGTGTTGAATGCTGTGAGAGATGTGTGGCTGGTTGTAATGATGGCCGTGATGCAAATCATTATTATTATGATGACTATGATTACGATGTTGATGATGATGTTGATGAAAACGACGATGATGATGATATTTGTCATTCTCCTCGCTGTATTCTCCACAGAAAGGAACATTTTCCTTCCACCTTGTAGCTCCTTCAACTTCATCACTTCTTCCATCATCATCGTCGTCGTCGTCGTCTACAAGGGCCACAGCGAGACACGTGATGAAGCTCTGTTTCCTGTGCACCTTGGTCAGCCTAGCATCTCTCGGCACATTTTTAGGGTGTGGGGCAGGGATGTACCAGGTAACTTGGGGCGAAAAATTGTCATTCATGAAAATTTTCAAAATATTAGGTGAATCTGTGGGCCCTTTGATTCTCGTTAACTCTTTTCTTGCTCCGTACCAGGGAAAGCATCTGCCATCCGAGTCACTGATCATACTTTTCAAACCGGTAGTTAATTCCGGAAACTCCCAGCTCGTCCTTCAATTGTGGATATTATTTTCAATTTCGTTGTTTCTTCTGACAACTTACAACGACATCTCTCATACACAATAGCAAACTTTAATAAATAAAATCCTTCAATGAGACGAAATAAATAAACTTACAGTCCATACTTCCCGTAGACGTTGACGAAGGTCATGCTGCTGACAACTTGGACCCAGCCAACGAGCAGTTGCTTGCCACTTTCAACCGCAGGCACTTCAACTGTGGCACTAGCTCTTTACAAATCAACGTAATCATAATTTTCTTAAATCAACACCATCACTTATAAAAACCGCCAATCATTTAAAATTTTAAAAATACTGATCGCAGTTTATGATTTTTTTAATATTTGAAAAAAATTCGATCTTGACATTGATCATTAAACGAAAATAAAATAGCAGAATAAAGTGTTTTACTTAAAGTGAGGAGTTTTATATTTGAGCACCGACGTCTTCTCAACCAGTGTAACGTCTTTACTTTCAATACTGACGTGGAAGTCTGTAATGTGGCATCTGTGGTACATTAGTGAGGTCACCATGACCAGGCATCTCTTCAAACTTGAACTTTTAACCTTTCTAATTTCTTCTTCGCTTGGCTTTCTAGAATTATCATGAGTTCCGTGGTTGCTCTTATGGCCGTAATTTGAAGTTGGTCTGCGTATCACGTGTGTAATTGTGTGTGTATGTATTTGCTAGTGTATGTATGTGTGTGTGTGTTGATGAATGAAATTTGTTTGGCATGTGGTGGACTTGTCTGATGTGAATCTGAATGAAGGTACGTATGTTTCATTTTATTTTTGATTATTTCTTACATGAAAAAGTATACCAGTTAAATAAAAACACTGACCTACGTGCATCACTTTTGTCCCTCTGCGACGTCCTGCCACCACCTCTGCATACGAACTGACAAACAACTCCATCGCTCTTTTTGCAAATTTCATTTTGCTCGGTAAAGTGTTTGCATTCATTAATTCTGGCGCCATTGGGATCGGCTGTGTAATCATTTGGAGAACATCTCTTGACTCTTACCTCATTCGTTTTTGCAGTTTTATGAAATATTCCAGGTTGCTTTAGATCAGTTAATGGATGCTGTTTCTTGCTAGGAAGACCAACAATCGAACCCATGTTTGACAGTTCCAACACGAGTTGATGCATATAAGGTAATCATTGATGTGAGCCAATTTTTAACGGGTAGTTATAGAAAATTATTTTGAACAAATGCATTTGAGGTGGTGAATGGTACTATTGAAAGTTAACGTAAAAATGAAGTTGTTGAACGAATGAATGTGTTGATATGAGCGCAGGTAATATATAGGTATGCATGTTGTGTGTATGCAGCCTCTTTCAAAATAAGCACACACACAACACGCACTGTTTCTAATAGTAACGAAGAGACATATGTTTTCAAACAATCGATAAACAGCATTTGCTGTATGTTGCTAACTTCTAAATGTGTGTTCGTTCGTCTCATGAACATGCTCTGTATGTAAAGTTCGCTTTTGTTATGTTCAATATGTCAACAGACGCCGCCAACATCCTCACTGTTATTATCACCATCATCATCATCGTTGTTGCCATCATAAAATTAAAGTTTAACCGTCATCCAACATTACTCAATGCAACCAGTCTATTATTTTTTCTTCTGAAGCGAGACAAATTATTTTTCAATTCAGATTCCCAGGTCCAAACAATTAAACTCTTATTATTGAATGGAGATATTGGAGTCACGTTCAATTAAATTTAAATAAATGATTGCCTGCTTCTATCTTCAGTTAAACAATCATACGCAGTCAAATGAACAATAGTAACAAAGCAGTTTACAAAAGCATCGAAGCTGTAACTGATTAAAAACAACAAATCAGATGATAGTAGTTTTCAGAACGATCACGGTGATGATGGAAACATTCGATGATGATGATAATGATGATGTTGGTGGAATGGAAACGTTCACGAGGACCTGGCTCGCCTGGCCATCGCCATGAAATAAATGTCTGACAAAAAGTTGCGGAAATATACGATCATTTTGTAGGAACAGTTGGCGAGTAAGACTTCCTTCTTGTCGAGCAGGACCGCTTGCACGACCGCCTGGCCCACTTCCTCCGCGCTCATCCCTGATTTCTGATTTTCATCCATCTCTGTTTCACATTTCAATTATCTAATTTACAGTTTATTAATTTACAAACTTTTAAGATGAAAATGCTATCTACAATTAGAAGATATTTCGTTACGTTTACATGGTGAACATGAAATCAACCATTCAATCAGCCAACCAACCCCAACCAACCAATCGATCGATCGATCGATCGATCGATCGATCGATCAATCAATCAATCAATTAATCAATAATTCATGAAATTGAACAACCAGTCAATAAATGAACTAATAATGAAAAAAAATGATCAGACATACAATTAATAAACAAGCTTGCAAGCCAATCTATCAATCGTTCATGAGTTTAAAATAAAATTGAAAGCAACAGACAGACTTCCGTGCAACGATCCACTCGATGTCAGGGCATTCAACGACAGGTTGGTCCTCACATACGCTGGACTCACAACGGACACTCTCACGTTGAACTTCAGATTATCATGCAAATATTTTTTAATTTGCTCATCAAATTTTCATGAAGACAAAAAATTCTGCATTTCAACACTAATGAAAACATCAACATTGATAGTAATACTGCGGTAGTAGTAGTAGCAGCAGTGATTTTAGAACCATTGACCAAAAATTTAATTTCTTCAATTGTGAAATCTGCTTCAACTAACAAACATTTTTTTAAATTATCAATAACATAGTCAACAATGTTTTATAATAATAATAATAATAACAATGACAATAATAATTCAATAATATAAAAACATCATTCCCCTCCCAACTGCCAATGTAATCTCCATGGATAAAAATGAAAGGAAGAACAACCTGGGCAACTTCGGCTCGGAGGCAATCTGCAAATGCCTGGATGGCATGCTTCGATGCAGAATCTTGAAAAAATTATTTCATTATTAATTTTATTTATATAATTTATTACTTTTATTCATTCTCATTATATTATTAACTAAACGAATCACACTTATTAAACAACGTATATTAATTATGCCATTTTGAGTATTTTAATGATATTTATACAAAATAACACTTGAGCTGATGATCACATCATATAAGAGAGGCAAGCTCTTGCAATGAAAAATATTAAATACTGAACTCAGGTCAATGATTGTAAAACAATCATTTATTGATATGTCACGCAATGCAGAGGTGATGAAATCGAATATGAAACTGTGAGAAACGAATTTTTAAATATTTGCATAATGATAAGAGGGAAAATATCAATCCAATCAATCCTTGGTTATAGTCTCTATCCATTATGGATTGGACTTTTTTATTTCCAAGTCAATTGATCAATAAGAGAGGAAATATATAATAATAATTTAATTTAATTCTATTATATTGTAATATTGAAATGATATTAATATGGTGAAATAATTATGAACAGGCAGATCTGAATGGTATGGAAAGTTTCCCCTGCAGACTGCTCATGTAGACAATGTGACCACTTCTCCTCTCCACCATGCTCTTTAAGACAGCTTCAATAAATAAGGTTTTAATTTAAAAAATTTTATTTCGGTTCTTTGTTAATGACCAATATCATGTTTTAACTATTATATTAATATTTAATTCAACCTTTCGTTGCAGCGACGTGTCCAAAGTAGTTGACACTCATTATCAGCTGATCGACAGATAATTCAGTTTCGATGATTTTGCCTCTGAAACTGATGCCAGCAATGCCCAGTAAGATGTCTATGTGTCCATGGATTTGGATGCATTCACTAATTTTTTTTGTTGTTTCATTGAGGTTCGAAATATCTAACTGGAAGATTGTGACCTCCTCACTTGTACTTTCACAGTTTTCATCTGTCTTCCTATATGATTCCTCGACCTCTTTCTTCACTCGCTCCAGGTCAGGCAGATCTTTCGCACAAAGAATCAGTTTGCAGTTCTCTTTGTAGAAAATATGAGCACAGGCTGCAAGAACAAAAATTAAATTTGTAAAGAAAATTAAATTTTTAAACATATTAATAAATAATATTGTATTATTATTATTTAATATTATAATATTAAATAAATAAAAGAATTGAATAAATTAATAGATCAAAAAATAAAATTTAAATTTATTTTATGCAAAAAACGAATAACAACAATATACCATTGACTAAATAAGAAACATGAATACAATAAAAAAAACACTCTATGACTATGTAAGAGTAATTAGTTGCACCTTCCCCAATCCCAGAACTTGCTCCAACTATTAAAACAACTTTCCCCTTGAGACTGCTGGAACATTTTTTATAGCAAAAAAAATAATAAACAGTGCCAGCCACCGAAAGCAATCCAACGCCAACACTAAATAATAAAACCGACATTTTAAAAACTTAATCAAACTTTGAGCCTCGCAATCAAAAACGACCTTCAGATGACGGTTGTTACATCACTTTTAAATAAAGCAAAAATGAAACTTAAGTTATGAAGAACCTCAGCAGTAAAAGTGAATTTCGAAGTAAAAAGTAACATAATGTGAATAATATGATGACCGGCCTGGCTGCCCTATTGCGTCCGAACCGAATTAAGAGTTTCTTCAGGCCGTCATCTGTCTGCAGTTTTAAGAAATTTTTTCGACCATCAAGCGGACAGATGGATGAGTTGAAATCAAATCCATTTTATTCAAAATATGCTGCTAAATTAGATGAAATAAAAAGGTCATATTTTTACTATAGGCCGCCAAATTATAGTCGTTTTGATTTTTTATTGCTACTGTGTTGTGTTGTGTTCTGTGTTGTGTTTGTTACATTACGAAAACATTTTTTAATTTTAATTTAATTAAAAATTAAAATTGTGACTTTTTAAGTTTTTTTCTTTAACTGAAATTTAAAGTGGATAAAAGTTTATTTTATTTTATATGTTGTTTTATTTTAATCACAGAACAAGACCCAAGGAATTTCAGCAAAAAGTTGAGGAATTGATCAAGCAGAAAAATTTGTCATCATGCAAAGATTGTGCAGGTCCCAACACCAACAGCGAAGAAAATGTATCCAGTGACATTCAAAAATTGGTGATTGATTAATTTTGTTTCTAATATGCAGAATAACAACCTATCATGGGTCTATTATATATATATATATATATATATATATATATATATATGACTATATATATAAATATATATATATATATATACATATGTATATATATATATTTATATTTAAGGTTGCTCAGAATCACTAATAACTTTTTTAATGTATCAAACAGGTGAAATCTTTATATTTATGTATCATATTCACTGACATAGTAATAATGCTGAATTGATTTTAAATTATTTTATTTCATGTGCATTCAGAAGTTAGAATCAGTTATGAACATGAGTCTGATAGAGAACAAAACAACAGATGAAATAATTGAGGTAGATTGCTGGCTGTAGGTGATGTTATTGTTATTATTAGTGTGTTTATAAGCACCCTTTATTAAAATGATCTCAAAGGTGCTAACGATTATTGCAAGACATCGCATTGCACTTTACTAAGGCAATGCAATGAATGGCAAAAAAATTTTCATTAGCAAACCATTCCAGACAGCAGAACCCATTACGGAAAAATTCCTTCGACTAAAAGCCAAGTTTGTCTCAAGTGCTAACAGTAAGCCTAAATTGTCAGAGCACAATGTTCGACTCAGCAGTGGCATTGTTCTCGGAATGATTCTGTCAGTTAAATATTTAAGGGCAACTCCCTTAATGCATTTAGAAACCGTTAAACATATTTTGAAAATAACTCTGATAAACCAGAAGCCAGTGAAGAGTAAAAAAAATTGGCTTAACGTGATCGCATTTAAGGCCACCGGAAACCAACCTTGCAGCCCAATTTTGAACTGAACCATTATTGTTGTTACTGACTACTTACGAAGTTCAGAGCGGATCTCAAGACCCATCTGTTTGCAAAATTCATAGAAGAGCGCTGTTGACCATCGCGGAAATAGCACTTTACAAGCTAATTGATTGAATGATTGCTTGAATGTATTTCTAAGTGCTGGCTGATGACTTTTCAATCCAAATATTGATCTAGTAATTTTAATTTTTTATTTGATTGTCAAATATTTTTAAATTTTCAAGCTTTGGAGAAATTTTCATAAAGACAAAATTTGTATCTATGCCGCCATTCCTGTTTGTAATTTTTCTTTTTTTTGATCATTTGTTAATATTATAATGTAACAAAATCATAAAAATCAGTATTGTTTTCAAAATAGTTTTCCAAATAATTTTTTCAACGATGGAGTTAAAATTATTGTTATAATATTTTTTGGTTAATTTTTAATAAATTTACAAATCATTTATTGTAAGGTTATTGTAATACTAATAATTATTATTATTATTATCATTGTCGTTATTATTTTAAATAATTATTTTCACAAGGCTGAAGAATACAACCAACTGCAATCAAAGATGACTCAGTTTCCTAATGTGTGTTTTGTTTTATGTCTGGAGGGGACTGAATAATTATTTTAGCTATGATAGATTTATTTCATGTGAAAAATGTTTTGGAGTTTGTATCTGTGAAATGATGTTTAATTTTGTATAAAAGCTATTTAAAATTGTTATATTGTACCTACTAACAATTTATTCATCTTAAAAGTTTGTCTATCCAATCCCACGATGCGATGGTTATGAATTTTTTGTTCAAAGATGGTTGGATGATTCTTGTCACTTCACTTCTCTTGCTTCCTACCAAGTGAAAAATGTTTTTAACGGAACTTGTTTTTAGATTAAAAAATTAACTGTTCATTTATTTGTTTGAAGCAATTGAAGGAAAATGCCCAGACGTGCCTGTCCGTTCATCACTTCACTGAGTTGGCTCAATCTAAAGGTCGTTTGTCTGCTTGATATCATCCATTTCAATAATATTCATTAGTGGATTTAAAACCTTTTAATCAATCAATCAATCAATTAAATATATTGATATAGCGTACATTTCAATGCCACTCTGGCCAGACTAACGAAATAAAGTGTTTCCAACTAGTTAAACAGAAGCAGTATCTAGACTTGAAAACGTATCATGAACTTGTCGGGTAGGTACATCCAGACTACGAAATTACTTTACCTTTAACGCTAAAAGTGCAGGATAGCCTATCCAGCAGAAAATCATGATTGACCTAATCGAATGCACAGCTCATATCGTGTAGTGCCAGCTGAGAAATATTTTTCCTGTCAGTTACAAAAAATAACGTGACGGCACGTCCAATAATGCTATCTCAGTTAAGTGAAACAGCCTGCATACAGACTGATTACTAGATAGAAGATCGTACTTCTTAGCAGGTTGTCATTAAGTTGCTGGGCAACTATGCATTCTACTACCGTTGGTGCAAACGACAACTTATGAACTGGTCTGAAGTTATTTATTGGCGGGTTTTTATGTGTAATCTTTTTTACAACAGTTTACAACGACATCATTTTTCAATTTATTCGGTCGCTAACCATAGATATTGATTTTTTGGGGATTGAATGATATTTTGCTTGTTTGATACATTCTCTTATTGCTTTATCATTAATTTTATTTATCACTTAATTATTCCACTGTGCTTGCTATTTCAAAGTTTTCAATAGTTTTATTCGGGTACGCTTTTTTCCTTTATTTATTTTCATTACTTTTATTCTTTTCTGTATTTCGTAATTGCGAGTTTTAGGTTGAGCGCAGTTGAATTTTTAGAAATTGGGCAATTTAAATGATTGAATGATTGATTGATGTTTTATTGTTTTTTTTTTATTCTCAATCAAACAATCAATCAATTAGTTTATAAAGCGTTATTTCCGCAATGTTCAACAATTTGCAAACAGATAGGTTTTAAGATTCGCTCTGAACTTCGTAAGTAATGGAGAAGTCGTCAGAGAAGGAGGTAGAGAGTTCCATAGAAAAAGGCCAGAAAAAGCAAAAGCAGATTTAGCAAAAGAGTGTTTAACACGAGTTAAGAAAAAGTGAAAACAAAAAGACGATCATAAATAGGAGCGTTTAAGTTAAATTATTATGTTTGATAAATAGTACTTAGGAAATAATTTTGATTGAGACTTATACATAAATGTGCAAATTTTTAAAATTATTCTATATTTTATAGGTAGCCAGTGCAAGAGAACAAGATATGGAGATATATGAGAAAAGAAAGGGGCACGAGCAACTAGACGAGCAGCAGAGTTAAAAGCTTTACTTAAAGGATAGAGTGTAGAATCAGGAAGACCGACCATAGTAGAGCGAGTTACAATAACCAATCCTAGATAAGACTAAAGAAATAACAAGAAGGAGAAGAGTAGGATCGTCAAGAAAAGGCACAAGTTTTTTTATTCTACGTAGATGATAGTAAGAACTTCTAGCAACACTATTTATCTGAGAAGAAGGAGACATGCTAGAATCAAAGAAGAAAGACATAGAGATATAGATTAGATGGTGGAAAAGAAGTGTAAATGTAAGAATCGTCAGCATATAGTTGACTAGTGAAAGAAAAATTATTAATAATGCGAGGTTATTCAGATGTATAGAGTATAAATAGAAGAGGGTCAAGGATAGAACTCTGAGGTACCCTAAAATTAAGGGTAGAAGAGTTAGAAATAGAATTTTTAATAACAACAGAAGAAAAAAGATTACAGGCTTTAGGCAGGTATACATATTTTTTTTTCTTGCAACCTGACAGTAAAATATTTTATAAAAGCCACCATGAACTGAAGGCATATTAATCATTAGCATTAAAATATCATGAAAATTTTTGATTTTGAAAATTACTTCATCGCTTCCCTGAAGGCATCATTTTGATGAGAGCTTTTCCGGACAGCAAAACTCTGGTTGGTGAATATAGTTTTATATTTAATCGATGAATTTTTAGTCAATTATAATTATTATTTTTGTTGAAATGAAAATGTTCAACTTTTGTTAATTATCAACAGAGTATTTATGAATCTCAATTGCTAGCACTTCAGATGAAGATGTACTACGGATTAAACAGCGGATTGAAATTCAACTTTGTGAGAATGTTCAACAACAGTCCCTCGTCTTTTAGTTACATGGATTTAGTTCAAGAGTTTGAAAATTATAAAAAGGATATTCTGTTAAAAAGAGAACTAATTGGAACTGCGGTTTAATATTATATGCCGTCATAAATTGTCCTAAAACTTTACGATTTCCTGATTTTTTTCTAAATGATAACAGCAAAAATCTTTCAATTCAAAATATGTTTTCGTGGTCGTTAACCGTCTCGTGCTATCTGAATATTATTTTTTTTCTATTCGGTATTGTTAATCTTATAGTATTTAGTGTTACAAATCCCATTCAAAGAATTGTTCCATTGAATTTATTAACAAACTTAAGTTTTTAACAACATCAGGGGTAGTATTAGGCTTTAGATTAATTTTATTTATTGATCTACTTACGACGATTGTGTCAGTTCATTGATCGGTTAACTAGATAGGTCAATTGGTGCGACAAATTCTGCCATCCATCAGGATAGTCGATTATAGCCTTTATCTGTCAATGATGAGACTGAGGAAGGTGGCCATTCATCTCCTAACAAGACAACCAATTATGTAATTGGAACAACGGTGTCTGATCTAAACAACTTTGACAGAGGGCCAAAATTTTGTAAATGTTTAAATTTTTGAAAAAATTTTGACAGAGGAAGCGAGATTTGTGGTATTTTGGTGAAGTTTGGCGGCCTTTTCTGCTTATCACTACAATTTCTTGTCGATTTTCTACATATAACACTTGTCTGGTAAAGAAACATTCGTTTCTGCGTCTGTCAGATTCTGATTTTATAAGGAATAATACAAAAAGTATCTGAAACTCAAGAGATAAAAATGGTTTTTTGATGGTACATGCGTGTATGTCCGTCCATATATATATAAGTAGGTTTCTATAATAGTTTAATTAAGATTGTATGAATCCATGTTTTCTATACACTAAAAAAACGCTGTTATTGATATTTATGATTGATATGTGAACGAAAACAGTATAAGTAAGACAGATCAGACGCCCTCCTAGCTGAAGTGTTAGAGTTGCGTCTGTTCTCATTAGGTTTTATTTATTTTTATTCTATTGTTTTACTTATTTTAAGAGTGGTTTTTAATGGTGCATTGCGGCATTTCATACGGAGATACATAGGACATTATATACATTTGCACGCATACATTTATATTTATACACGCGCGCACTTACGTTCGTTCTCGCTGTAATGTTTGCTTCATGTTTTACCTTCCTTCTTTCTCTTTTTTCATTGTATTTTACAACTAGATAAGACGACTAAAACAACGACTAATTTGACTAAAACACAGCTAGGTGAATTAATTTAGCAAACAAAGGTGTGTTATTGATCTATTCTCATTCTACTTTTTTTCGTATATTTCGTTTTGTGTTTGTTTTTTCTTTGACAACAATTAACAGTGTTATCAACACTTATTTATTGGTGACATCGGGTTAATATTATTATTTAACTTTTCGATTTTTCTAACGGTTGATCGTAAATCCTTTTCAAGTTTATACTATAAACTGTGTCTGTCTCTACTCCGTTGATTCCTTGTTCGTTTAAAGTGAATACTTAACGTTCATTTAATTAGTTTTACAATCTTCAACTTCGTTTAATATAACATTTTTACGTGTTTTCATTATCGATGATTCCTCTGTTTTAAAATTTATTGGTAGGAACAATTCCAATTGCCCGTTGTTGAATATTTATTATCGGATGTCTTTGTTCTATGAATATTGATTCGGTTAGTCGTAAATTATAATGGTTGTTATTGTAATGTAAGATTTCAACACTGTGGTCCAAGATTTGTCTAGTAATTTTAGTTTTGTGTTTCTCTTTCATGTGATTCTTTATAGCGCCAGTTTGTACGTGCATTGTGAGTCTTCTCGATAACATAATCGTCGTCATACCAATATATTCGGAATTATGGTGCCCAAACTCACTAATATTACATTTTAACAAATATATTAGATGGCAATGATTCATTATCAATTCTGGTTTAATAGTGCAGTTGTTTTTCATCACAAGAGACGACGTTCTTTGGTTGGAGTAGAATATTCGTAGTTTAATACTATCATTCTCGTTGATTGCTTAGACAAAATAGGAAGCTAACTAACGCCGAACATGCTGTGATTTTCATCAATTATCTGCTATCTGATTATAATTATATTGTAATTAGATTGCCTTTTAGTGTGGCTGTTTCACAAACATGAGATTAAGACCGCCGATTTAAGTTGTTTTTTCGCGGTTGGAGTGCAGATGCGGATAAGGAGCAATGCGGATGGTGGTGGTTGCGGACGTTAACTCTGCGGATGCGGGCGGTTGCGGTTTGGAAAAATCTTCTCTGCTTGGGATTTTATATAGTATGTGTAATTCGCTCTGCTAAGATCTTCCTGATTCTACTCTCTGTCCAGCATCTTAAATGTGCTGCATCTTGTACTTCAGATAATTTTGTTGACTGACAACATCCTACACCAGCGGTTCTCTAACTTTTAGTACTGCAACCGTTCCAATACAACCGTTCATGTCGTAACGACCACAACTAATAAACTACTTTTTATATATCATATATATACATGGAGTCCACCTCATTGTAACCAGGATTCAAATCATAAAGTGCAGCGGTAGCAAATTAATTACTGACACTTTTCAAACACAGGCCACATTTAGTTTAGTCATTAGATGTTTTCTTTCAGTCTTTTACTTTCTGCAGTTAGGAAACTTTTAAAAGTTGTTAATCAGTCGGGCTTTGTTCGTAGATGATCATTCGAGAGAGAAATTGAAAATTGTTTTTCATAAAATTGTAAAGTTTACGCGTCAGTTGTTTGTCTTAAAAAATATTCATTTCTGATTCTTCTTCCTTGCAGCTTCTCTACTTCTTACCTTGCTTGCTTGCTTGCTTGGCCCAACAACGTTTTTTCGTTTCACAGTTCCAGCAGTGAACTAAAAAAACTAAGTATTATTAGTATATAATTTTTATTATGACAATTCATAGTGCTGAAGATTTCACGAAAATACCAAAAGACCAAATCTCACCTAACCCTAAAGAGCTAGTTTTGGTCCCCAGCCCAAATATTCCCTGGTATGTTTTTAGTATGGCAGGTGCTTGCAGTGGGGTGGTCACTAGAGCTCTCACACAGCCACTGGATGTCGTCAAGATCAGATTACAAGTTCTTATTTATTTATTTATTTGTTTTTTGGTTTGCTTTATTTGTTTATTTATCCATTTGTTAAATAATAAATAAACATTGATATTAATATTAATTATTAATTAATTCAAATAAATAAACACTATCTTATTAATAATTAATTAAAATCATAGTTAGTCTGTAGTTAAAACATTAATCCACAACTAGCCTGCCTAGTGTTTTTCACACAGATTCAAGACAATCCAATGCACCAAATGGACAGTGCCAAGTACAGAGGGATGTTTCGGACTGGGTCCGTGGTATGCAAGTCTGAAGGTGTCAGGGCTCTGTGGAAGGGGCACGTGCCTGCTCAAGTTCTGTCAATTTCCTATGGAGTTCTGCAGGTTGACATTTATGTGGAAAGTGTACCTCTTGAATCTTTATCTCAATATAAACAATTTGCACCCACCCTAAAAAATAGTTCAGCATTTTTGAATTGTTGACAAAGTACACGAACCCATTGATTTCTTCAATTGGTTTCTTGAAACCGTTCAATAATTTTGTGTGTGGAGGTGTTGCAGGGTCGATAGCTACATTCATCTCATACCCCTTCGATGTTGTCCGCACGAGGTACATCATTCAGGACCACCCCAAGGTTCGTTCACCATCCTCTTCTTATGTGACTATGCATTTCCATGCAATCAACAATCACAAATGTCAGTTCCTCTACTGATTCACAAACAACAATTCATTCAAATAAGTGTTGTGTTGCTTTGGGTCTGTCAATTGAAATTCATTCATAATTTTAATAATTCACAATCAATACAAACACAACTACAACAAGCATTACTGACACACACGCACACACACAAACACTTATACACTCACTCATACAATACACACTCAAAAATGCTCACAGACATACACATCAATGCACCAAGCCTTCAAAGTCATTGTCGCAATGGAGTCATGGAAGGGTTTATACAAGGGGTTTGTTCCGACCATCATCCAGATTGCACCAAACACCGGCCTACAATTTGCTTTCTACAAGCTCTCCATATCTGTGTGGGACTTTCTTTGTAGGAGGAACAAGTACATGCAAGCCACTGATGACATTCACGATGTCGGTGAGGAGGGTGGTCATGATGATGATGGTCATGATGGTGGTGATGATGATTATTCTGTTGATGATGATCATCATCATTGTCACAATGAATGTCATCAAGTTTAAAACAGAATACGACACAACAGCATGCACCAACACAGTACAGCAGCAATACAATGCAACAACAACAACAATAACGATAGTATAACAACCCACCAGGCCTACTTGAGAGCCTCATCTGTGGCTCCGTAGCTGGCCTCACTGCCAAAACCATTGTCTACCCGTTGGACCTTGCAAAGAAAAGATTGCAAATAGTTGGTTTCCATGACTATGGTCGGGTCATCGTCGGGCGGGCAGTTGCCTACAGTGGGATGGTCGATTGCATAGCAACGGTTGCCAGGCAGGAAGGGGTTGGGGCTCTGTACAAGGGGCTTGTCCCCAGCATGATGAAGGCCTTGCTCACCTCGGCCCTCATATTTGCTTCTTATGAAAAATTTTATAACTTTTTCGTGTTAACTGTGGTGCCTCGATAATTAGGTATATATATATATATATATAAAGTTTTATATAAATTTATTATAATTGTTTTAATGAATTTATAACATTTCTTCAATGTTTTTTTTATTTTTTTTGCAAAGGGTAATATGATTTTATAACCCTTGCCCTTTTCACGCTCTATTACTACTGAAAAACCTGCTTACGTGAATTTCATCCAACCATCCAAACGAAAAAACGTGACTGTGCCTGAACTTGCTAACTCGTGCTTAACAGATTGGTTTGAAACTAGTAGACATTTTTTTTTAGAAACTGACAATGCTGCGTCTGCAGGAAGGAAGTATAACCTAACAGGTGCTGCAAGGTGCCTTGTGACTGTCGTCATAAGCGTCAAATATCTTTTCAAAGCTTTGATATTCCAACACCAATAAAACATCAAATTGCACTGTGACACATCAACACGTCGCATTAGAATCAACATTACATCACCCTACATTAGGAGTAGGTAAACTTTTTGCTGTGAGAACCGCATTGAGAACTATCTTACCTTTGAAGGGCCGCATATGTACTTGAATAGCAAATTTTTTCGACACAGGCGAGAATTTTTTTAAGTTTTGTGGTTCTTTTTTTGGTCATAATGTCTGGCTACGACCTTTTTTTGGCGAACAAGACTTCATCACACCAACGCTTCAGAACTATACTTTGTGCATGGGGAATGCCAATGATGTATTTAATTATTTCTGCTTTGTAGTGTTTTACGACGGTAGCTACATATTTTCTGTTTACATTACTCTATTTTATTTATTTTAGACAGTAAACATTTGTTGATATGAGCAAATGAAAATTTTACTACAATGCAAAATGATTACGAAGTGACATAACCAAAAACGCGATGAACAATGAACATAATAACAATTTACGTGATTCGGAACGTGTTACGAAGTTAAATGTCGCGATTGGGTAGATGAATGATGATAACATTATTGATGATGTCGTTTAAGTTGATGATGATAATGTTTTTTTTGATGATGGTGTTGTAGTTGATGATGTTATTGATGTCGTCAGATGATGTTGTTTATGAAGATGTCGTTGTGGTTGGCGATGTTATCAAATGCTGTTGTTGGTGTAAGAGATGCCATCGCATGTTATGATCCATTCCTTTTCTGAAATCTGATCCACTGTGAATTTTGCCTGGTTTTGTTCATTTGTATATTCATTCGTTAATTAATTCATTAATTCATTCATTCATCATCAACAACGACGACACAAACGTCATCATTGCCAAACGCCATAAAGTTGTTACAGACGTTGGTCATGCGTTCGATGACGTCCATTGCGGTCCTCGTGTGCAGTGTTGGCTCGGAGGTCCTCATTACTGATCTGCCGTCTGCCAGGGCCATGAAGATGATCAGCTGTTTGTTCGGTGGTCATGTTTGTACTATGTTACGTGTTGGAGCTATTCAAAGTGAGAGGTGCGGCGGTGTTATGGTTAAGATGCTTGGCACTGCTCTTGCGGGGACTGGCTTTGAATGCTGTTTTGCGCTGCTTGCAACTTGATCTTGGCGATAATGAGGATGATGAGGGAGGTGATGATGACGATGATGATGATGAGGGAGGTGGTGATGGTGACGATCTGACCTGATCCTGCATATATTTGTCGACACATGACTTCGATTGTAGAACTTCCAGAAGTTCATTCACTGCTTCCTTGGCAACCAGTTCCGCAGGCTTATCTGGAAATATTCAACCAAAATTTAATTTAAATAAAATTCAAATGTTAATTGAGCAACTCAAGTTAATTTAAATGAAGTCAAACTTCCCAAACAATGCTCTGCAAATGAAGATTGAAAAACAATCACTCGACTGATCCATCAGTTGCAAACCTTTCTCGCCGAGTGCAGACGCGCCAAACGTGATGTTGTCCATCGTCCGAGCCACCAGGCTGCCATTCGTTATTCGTTTTGAAATAAAAATACAAAACTCAACAGAAGATCAAATATAAAGAAAATATTTTTGTTTCTTTGGCAGCCGATTCCTATGCGTAGATAAAAATATTACGCAAACAAGAAATGGAGAGTGGCCTCTGAAGTCGACTAGCAGTTCGCAGCGATACATTCCTAACACAATAAGCGATAGAGATAAGGATTAAGATAAGAGTGGTCGAATGAAGCACGAATGAAAGAACAAAACAGGAATAAAAGAATAAAACTTGAATGATAGAATGGAACTTTGAACCAACTAACATAATGCCACTACCATTGCCATTACATTGCTTATCGTGCAAGAATTCGACCTTGACCTTGATGTGTGGATATTTTAATTTCAAATCAAATTCTGCAAGAGCCTTCATCTCAACCGCTATCTGTAATTAATTAATTCATTCCTTCATCAAACAATGGATTTATTAGGGTGTTAATGCATTCATTCATCCCTTTATTTTTTATACAAACAATTAATATATTAGAAAGTTAATTCATTCCCTTACATATTCATTCAAAGACTCATACATTTGACAGTGTTCATAATTGTAGAGAAAAAGTTATTGACCTTGTCAGGTAGAGAACCGGCTACATATGCCAAGCCAGATATGTCGAAGATCGAGCCCTTCTCCTGCAAGATGATTGGCTGAATTTTTTTAATAGGGTTGCATGTTAGAACAACTTCACCGCCTCCTCTGGGGTAGAAACCTCTGATGGTGAAGAAAAATTATCATTCAATCATTTTAGATCATCAGCTCTATGATGTTCACCATCACCACCATCATCGTGTACGCTGGCAATATTCACACTGCCAACATAACTAGCAGCACACACCACATGCATCATCAATCTAGATATCATAACCAATATCACGGGCATCATCATCATAACCATCACCATAATAACAATGATAATAATAATAAACCATTAACATAATAAACAGCTCCATGATTATCACCACAGCCACCATTATCATCATCATCGTTTATAAGACCTTCTGACAAGTTGGCATTCAAAGTTGATTCCCATCTTTCGAAGCATCGGCCTGAGAACCTGGGATGAAATAAGTTTCAGATGTAAATCTAGAAGTTCCAAGAAATTAATTATGAAAAATATTAACATCAACAAAATATTCAAAAGGAGGAGCCATGGAAGCATTAGTGCCGCCTTTCAACACTAATCGACTGCTCTTATTGGCTAGCAGCAAACAGGGCAGGGCTGATTGGATGAGAAGACACACACTTCTGTAAAAAAAATTAACTGAATGATTTTACAATCAAAGCTGTACAATGAAATCATTTTCAGTTTCATAGTTCAAATCAATCATCACTTTCAACTGATTTCAAGATGAATAAAAATTGAGCAAACATGGAGTGCACCGTTGTTATGAAGGATAAAGAATCAACAGATAAATTAACGTGTCATAAAAAATTTTAGAAAAAAAATGACCCGGCAGTTTGTGTGTCGACGACATGTTCACCTCCTTCAATGGTTCTTGAAATGAAAGACAAGATGAATGAAAATTGAGCAAACATGACAGTGCGCCATTATTTTGAAGGATAAAGAATCAACAGATAAATTAACATTGAAAAATAAGTACAGATTTTTGAAAAAAATGACCCGGCAGTTTGTGTGTTGACAACATGTTCACCTCCTTCAATTGTTCTTGGAATGAAAGACACTTTAGTCGAGCTTATCCAGCCCCCGATCAACTGGCCATTTGAGATCTCCTTCAACAATGTCAGACCGCATAGGTGCTGAGCTCTGCAGATTCACAAATTGAATTATTAACTCTGTAAGATTTTATATAATAGTGTCTGCTATGCTCATGTGCTCACTCACTCACTCACAAAAACACACACATACATACATGTGTGTGTATGTAGGATATGAAATTGTGGCCTAAAGAACTACCAACCGAAGTCCAGGCTTATCTCGTTTGGCTCTGATGTTTTCAACAGTGACGGGTTTGTTCATGATGCAACTGAGTGAAGTAGAATTTCGTAGTAACTGACCACCCTGTTCAATTATTAAGTATTTTATTAGGATTGGGGATAAGCTTTCTGCTGGCAGCATTGCTATTAAAAATGTAACAAGAGTAGAGTTAGGAGTAGAGTTTATAATTGTCTATGTCTGTTTTAATAATAAAAATACAGATACATAGCTATAATTTATAATATATATTTTACCAAAATTGAAACTTAGTAAGAGTAGGTGAATTAAATAACACTGGTATAAAAATTAAGAAAACAAACATCAAACAAACAAGTTGCACAGTCGAAAGAAAATAGAATACTTCTGAATGCAATTCTATTAAAAGAGTCTAGTCTTATTTATTTATAAGAAGGTGGTTCATTCCTGGGAATAGGAAGAAAGAAGTATTGTTCTCAGACATTTGAAATACAAAAAAATATGTGTGAATGTGACATGTCATGCTACCAACTTTCTACTAGAATAGTTTTTTTTAGCTTAGAAAATAACTCTTTTAAACTTGTTAACTTGCCTTCTTAAAGGAATCTTTAAAAAGCTTAAAACGCTTAGCCTTAAAAATGATCAAAGCTTAAAGAAGCTCACCGCTATTATTACAAATTACATAATTTTTAACTAAATGTGTTTCGTTTAGGAAAATAAAATTTTGCCAATTTTAGAAATGTTTTTTATATCGCAACGAACCCCTTCTAAAGCTCCACCATCAACTACAAGACCCGGCAAATCATTAGCGGCCATTGCAAATTATTGAAATTCGAAACTTATTCTTATTTTTATTTAAAAATCCCTCCACAACAAATCAACTTTCAGAGCAGTTGCCAACCATCCCCTCACGGAGAGGCATGTATGATATGAAAACATGTATAAGTTGTTGCTATACAAAATGCGGCTTACGGCCTCTAACGGGCAATTAGCACGATTTGCTTTCGATTTCCTGAATCATACATGGATTCATATATATTTATTTTTATATATATAGAATATAACATATTATATTATGTTGTGTTGTGTTGTGTTAGGTCATGTTATGTTATATTATAATATATTACATTATATTATATATATATATATATATATATGTGTGTGTGTTATGAAGGAAGCTATTAACAGTTAATATGCTACTTACTACTTGCGATTATTAATGCTTTCTTGAACTTATGCTTCGTTAAAACTATGGATTTATATTATGGGAATTTATATAGTATGTTATATTAGAATATATTATATTTTATGTGTTTGTCGATGTTTCAACAACACATTTCAACTACTACAAACCGTTAAAGATCGTTTTTTGTGGAAGTCGATGGTCGCCAATATCCTGAAAGGATGAGGCAAGAGAAGAAGGAGAATTTTTTATGAAGAGACACAGTTTATATACTTAAACATCTGGCCACATACATAACGTATCACTTCAAACACCAAAAATAGCACAGGAATACCAAAAAAAGCTTTTTTTCTATCATGCTTAAATGTTCTATCGTGCCTAAAATAAATAAAAATTTTGGTTTTGAATTCAAGAAACTTAAGAATAATTTACGATTTACTAATAGAAAAATTAAAAAATATATATATAATATATAAAATATATATTGTATATATATTTTTTCTCATATGCTTTAACTATTTTGTCTAATTATTATTTTGTCTCTCGTTATTCAATTATTTATTATTTAAATATTAATATATCATTTGTTTGTTTGTTTATTTGATTAAATTGGGTTGTTATTATTTGGTTATATAACCAGGATGTGAGCATAGGGCCTGGCCTGCGCTCACAATCTTTTCTCTATTGAGTAATATCAATAAAGGAAAATCTAATAATAATATCAATAGTAGATCAAAATCAATTAATACTATTAGTATTAATTAATGATGTAAAGTCATTAATAATAAGGAAAATAATAATCATTTTGTATCAACCCTCCAAGTTCCATCCGCAATAAACTTACTGCTCTCTATCGACTTATTCAGAAATCTGTGGGCCACTCAGCCAATTCGTCAGACCCTTATTTACTTCCTATGTGTGTCGTACGTAAGTCGTCTACGCTCTGAACGGTCGGTGTCATCATGGAGCCTTCACTCAAAAATGTGATTGATCAGACTTCTTTAAAGTGGATTTTTGTAGGCGGCAAAGGTGGTGTGGGAAAAACAACGTGCAGGTTAATTTATTTTATAAATTTGCTCGCTGATTCGTTTTAAAAATTTAAAAAAAAATCTAACATTGTACTCTAACACAGAAGCATTGCATAGTATGACGTATGAATAACAATAGCTGCTGACATAACACTGATCCTCTTCCTACTGTTTTACTATCAATTATATTCCATTTATTTTATTGGAAAATTGTTGAATTTGAAATTTTGAATCAGTTGCAGTCTGGCCATCCAGCTATCAAAGGTTCGTGAAACAGTCCTAATCATTTCGACGGACCCAGCGCACAACATATCCGATGCTTTTGATCAAAAGTTCACCAAAGTGCCCACCAAAGTTGCAGGATTCAACAATCTTTATGCTATGGTATGATTCTGTTTATGATACTTTCACCAGGGCTATCATTACAATAGGAATAAGATTAACATGTCATAAAGACTTATAAAATTAAGTCATTCATTACACTATTTAGCTTACTACTATCTTAATAATTTTTAAACTTTCAAGCTTTGAGTTACTAATTTACTAAAATTTAATAATTTAATTAGTTTCTTAACTAAATTCCTTAGCTATGTTTTTTAAATTGCAAACCGAAACTCTATTTTAAAAATAAGTTATCAATGATGTTAAATTATTTTTAAAAATTTATATTCTCATATTATAATGAGTAGCTGAATATTTAAAATATTATGTATTTAAAATATGTGCCTTTTGGCTTAGGAAATCGATCCAAATGTTGGTGTTGGTGAACTTCCAGATGAATATTTTGATGATCATGGTGAGCTAAATGTTACTTCACAATTTGTGAGTTACTTTACTAGCTCCTGTTTTTAGTGACAACGATGACTTTGTATTAATCGATTTATTTTAACTGAGATTGAAAGAGAGGAATGAATCCTTTCATTAGGCACGGATGCATTCAGCATCGGTCGCTCCATGATGCAAGATATGATGCAAGCACTTCCTGGGATCGACGAGGCCATGAGTTACTCGGAGGTTATGAAGTGAGTCATTATCGCTAGCATAGCTATCATTATCATCACTAACTAATCTCATTGACACAATGTCATTATCATCATTGGTTGCCATCACTAATATTTTCCCAATGAAATCATCATTGACAGATTGGTGAAAAGTATGAACTTTTCAGTTGTCGTGTTTGATACGGCTCCCACGGGGCACACATTGAGGCTGCTCTCCTTCCCGGCCGTCGTTGAAAAGGGATTGGGAAAAATCCTTCGTCTCAAAAATCATATCAGCCCGTTTGTTTCACAGGTTGTTGGTTGGTTGCGGTGGTTTCTTGGCGTGTCAGGTTGAGGTTCATGGGTTCACAAAACAATGAGATATCGTACCTAATTGAATTGGATTGACACACATTAAGGTGACCAATATGCTGGGGATGTCAGATGTGAATGCAGATGACATGACTCGAAAGTTGGAAGAGATCCTTCCTGTCATCCGGCAAGTTAATGAACAGTTCAAGAACCCCGTCAGTCACCTTTCATTCATTAATTTATTCGCCAGAATTACATTCGTTAAATTGCAAATGTTTTCAAATTATTCTGCAAATAAGTGCTATCTGCTGAATGAATAAATGAATGAAACATCTACCAGTCAATCATTACTTTACACACACACACACACCAACAAACATAGGAGCAAACAACATTCATATGTGTGTGCATAGCTGAGTTTCTCTCATTGTATGAAACAGAGAGATTGGTCCAAGAGCTCACAAAATCAGGTTCAGTTAAATTTTACCCTTAACTTTTATTTGCCTCATTAACTTCAAACAAATTTTTCAAAATAATATCTTCCTTTTAATTTAACGTTAATGATTTGATTTTGTTTACATTGGAAATGCATTTGATAAAAAGATCCTCTAAAGCAATTGGATGGTGTTTTTAGTAATAATAATATTATAGACATTTATATAGCGCCGATTCGCACTGCTGCTTCAATGGTGCTGGAACCTACAGGCACGTGTTGAAACCACGAGTCTTTAGTCTGTGTTTGAAAAAATGAGTCCTTAGTCTGTTTTTGAAAAGATTCAGTGACAAGCATTCTTCCCACTTGAGAGGTAACGTTTTTAAAACCTCCTGTGTGGCGTGACGTAAACCACAGTTAGCATTGTGGAATTAGGCAATAGGAGCCATGCCTGTCAAGAATCTGTAGAGCAATCTGGCACGCTCCTGGCGATGAAGTCATGTAGATCTACTGGGGATTTTGACAACATTATTTTGAAGGTTAGGACTTCAGTTTTGAAAATGATTTGAGTGAAAGTGTGAAGCCAATGAACGATTGGAAGGATAATGTGAGGACTGGGGCTAGAAGGTTTGTTGAGGATCAGTTTAGCGGTTTTTCTTTAATAGTCTGCAGTTCCTGGGTAGATGTGCGTGAAACTTCATACAATGAAGAGTTTCACACAAAACAAACGTACCATTTAAATTCGGGAGAACGAAAAAATCCATCAAAGAGACCAACCAAACTGAAATATGTAATAAAAAAAATGAAAAACTTAAATTTTAAAGAATCATGTGGAAAAACAAAACAACATAATGATATAACATTTAAATACAGGCCTAACAAATGAAACAAACATGTCAGTTATTGTACTTACGAGAGAAACAAATAATGATTGAATTTGTAGGGATAGACACGCATAACGTTGTTGTCAATCAGTTGCTGATGACGGCCGGCAACCAACTCCCGTGCAAGATGTGCGAGGCTAGGTTCAAGATTCAAAATAAATACCTCGGGCAGGTTGCTGCTGTGTTGTGCAGTTGTTGTTGTTGTGATGTTTTTTTTTTCAATGGATGTAATGTTGTTGAAGATGAAATGTTGAAGTTGAGATGTTGTTGCGGTGTTTCGTAATTCAATGCACGAGATTGTTTTTCGGCTTCAGTTTTTATCAGTTTTTTATTAAAAAAATTTGCTGCATTATCGTCACATCACCATCGCCCGACAGATAGAAGATCTATACGAAGACTTCCATATAACTCGTCTGCCACTGATGGAACATGAAGTAAGGGGGTCCAATCAAATTCAGAAGTTTTCAAAATTCCTAACTCAACCTTTCAATCCGTCAATCGATCGATTATCTCTGGTCAGTGAGCGGTCCACCCCGATGGTGTGAGGTGTCGAGGTAACTTGATAACATTCATCTACCGATCGTTAAATTAATGTTTGGACGTCAGAACATGTCTTTGAGGATAAATGTTATTTATATATGTTGGCTAACTTACCATCCAATCCAAATGTGACATGCACGTTTTTTTTGTTAAAACTATGAATAAATTTGTATTAATTCGAATTTTGCCACTGAGAAACTTAAACAAAACTTGAGTTTGTCGGTTAGTCGTGCTTTATTGAAGATCAAACTTGCTACGAATGCGTTTCTCGGTCAACTTTTCTGAATTATCTTTATCTTTCTACTGAATGTTCGAATTTGTTTTACCCTTCATCCCGCTATAATCCGCGGGCCTTTGTTTAAAATATATTTTTTTATTTATTTTAATGCGGAGTTAATCTTTCTTCGGTTGATGAATTTAACTGTCAATGTCGCAAGATGCGCATGATGTTTCTATTTATTCCTACTTGTCGTTCGGACGAAAGTAACGATGGACAACCGCTCACTGAGGAATATCAAGCAAACATTAAGTAATTTATTTGACATTTTATAAAGGTAAAGTAACGAAAAGTTGAATTGTTCAATTATGTTCAATCCAGTTATTCACTGTGGCTGTCGTGAAGGGCTAGCAAGTAGAGTTACGTTCAAAAGTCATTCAACGAGCGCATTCTAGGGTGAGCATCAGCGTCCGGTCAGAAGTCTGTAAATTCCTTTGAGAACTTGTTCGTGGCAGACATGTGCATCGGTTCCTCGTCGTACTCTTCAAAGTGACTGTCGTCTCCCGGCCCTTCCGTGCGAGGAATGAAACTCGGAGTCACCTGATGATCATCATTGTGGTGGGGTGCGGTGTGCTGATGGTGCGATGGGGATCATTATATGAAGATACTAAATAAATGTACGGGTAAAAATGTTGAATTTGAGCATCATTTGATGGCGGGTGGTCTCATTTTATCAACGATACTCGGGTAGTTTACGTTCATGTACAAGCAAATTAAATGCAAAAATCGAAATATACACGGCAGGATTCCAGGAAAAAAAACCCAGGCAAGGAGATCCCCAAGCAAAAGCATGCAAGCAAAAAACTACAGAATCTTCACAAACGTTATAGATGAACCTCAAAAAAAAATCCCTGGACAAAAACCCTCTAGAAAATATTGGATTTATGTAGAAAACAGGTAAACCATTTTTGCTATTATTTTATAGTAAAATTTTAAAAGAGACTAGGGCATAAGCTACATTATTAGTTGCAGTGTCCAATTAAATAGCAAAATGTTATTAAATTATCATCAATTAAATAAGTTTGTGTCTTTTTATTAATGATTAGAAATAAAATTAAAAATTTTATTTTTTGCTCAATATTTTTGTGGACCAAAATTTTTGTCGTGGAATTTATCCAAGGTTTATTTTTTATTGAAGGGCGTCTGAGGGCGTTTTCCGGCAAATTTGGGTCCGAGATTAATTGTCCTGTTAGCACACAGCAGATATAGACACGAAAAACACATTTTGTAGTACAATAGATGAATCGCGTGAAATATGTTAAACTTCAAATCGAAATGAATATAAATAAAAGTTGAAAGTGTGGCAAACAGATCTGTGGAAGACAGCAAGCCAGTCAATTTCCTCAAAAAATTTGTGGTTTCTGATGTCTTGTATGCCATTTTTCATGTTGCCATACCTGTTTTCATCATCACAGTCGTTCTAATCATCATTACCTTCGTTATCATCATCGTCATCTTTATCATTCACATCGTCATCATCATCAACAACAACATCAGTGGCGAATCTCCCCCGTTGTGACCATTGTTGTTATTATTAAAAGTCAGTAAAACTCAGTTTTTAGGAGAGACAACTCTGATTCAAAGTACAAAATGCACCAAAAATTGGCGAGATAAGCAAAAAAGGCGAATTTCTTGGCCCCCCGTCAAATTTAAAAAAATTTCAAAATTTTCAAATTTTGGCCCTTCCCGTCCACGTTGTCTGGATCCGCCACTGATCATCGTTGTCATCGTCATCAATTTCAACATTGCAACAGTTTCCATGATCGTTGATTTTTAAATGGTTATTACAATACAATTACTTCTTAATTAAATTATGTTTATGAACGTTATATCTCTCTATCTACGTTACGTCGGCTTACAACAAAAACGACAAGAGTAACACAATTAGATGAATAAATAAATATTTAGAACAGACTGGCGGACCTTTTGGTGAGGTCAAGTTGCAGGAGGTTTTTGATGATGTCTTTCGTATCTGACGAGAAGTGTCCAGGGTACTTTACCTGGCACACATTTCATTTGTGTCATTCACAATTTCAAATGTCATTCGTGCTTTTGAAAATAACATAACAAAATTACTAATCGTTACATAACATTAATGACAGAAGGGCAATGTGGGCGCGTTCTCACGTGTGCTGCTGATGGTTGGTGAGCCTGGTAGAGCCCTGCGTAGTTAACCGCCACCCCGGTTTAAACCACAAAATGCTCTTCTATTTCTTTGTTACATTAAGATTTAAGCCGGGATTTTGTTAACCTAAGATTGAACATATACATGTTTATGTATTTATTTTTGCGCGTTTTGGCATAGATGTCTCGACGTTAATGTCTAAATAAAAATTGGCGTGTTGTTTTACATTAGCCTACTGTTTCAACAGCGTATTGAACTGACTGACCGTCGTTAAAATAGTACCGTTGTTTGTCGTCAGTCGTTGTACAGGCACACAAGGCAGTCAGTTTATATTGTCGTTCGCTCATTTAAGTTATATTATGATTGATAGCTAGTTACCTGGTTTTTAAATATTTAATTTAATTGCACAGCAACAATATTTTATTATAATCACCTGGACCATCTGATTGATGCAACTCTTTTGGTTGTATCTCAATTATCAATACTTACACCACATCAAGTATTTCGATAGTTAACATGTGTAATGCGTGCGGCAAGATTTTAAAAAGTCAAAATCTGGTACGGCCCTTCTGTTGGCATTCCAGTGCCAAGTGTCTCATGAAGAAGAGTGGGCCGTCAGACAACTTCACCTCGCAAAAAGAACGCTGAATTCAGACCTAAGAAATGCGCAACAAGTGTTTTTTCTATTGCGGTTTCGAAAATTTTAACCACACAGGGCTCTAGTTCCTGGCACTGCTGTTGGAGTGTTTGGGTTCGAACGCCAGGAGATCCTCTGCCTCACGTGTGTGTGTGTAACGCGTCGATTTACGTGTATTTATACATGCTGTGCGTTCTTTATCAATTCCTCTTGAGAAACACCAAATAGAAAATTGTGAAAGAAGGGAAACACTGTGTGTAGGACCTTGCCTGAGACGATCTTCTCATAGATTTGTATCGGCTGGTCAGCTGCAAATGGTGGATAACCAGCTGCCATTTCGTAGATGAGGACCCCCAGTGCCCACCAATCAACCGCCTTGTTGTAGCCCTGGTCATTGTACACAGAATTATGTTTGAATTGTATGCGTGAGTGTGTGTATGCATTGTATGTGCGTGCATGCAGAGGTAATGTCATTTGTTGAACATTAAAGAACCGCACCAACCAGACATCAACCACCTACCGACCTTGCTGAGAATTATTTCAGGGGCCAGATATTCGGGAGTGCCACAAAGAGTCCACGTTCGCCCTTTCACCCTCTTTGCGAATCCAAAATCAGCCACCTGTCAATTTCAATTTTACAAAATGTTCTCGTGCCAAGTGAGGCAGAGCCACCTCGATGTTAAATATTTTATTTTACATCTCCCGAACCGTCTCCCCAGACGAATGATCTCCGAAGATTCGAAACAAGTGATAGATAATATGATTATGACAATCACAGCTCAGGTAAAATCGTTATAGTCCTCATTGAGTTATACCGTCAGCTCGGTTGTGATAAATTGCGAGATGCGTAGGGTAGGATATTGTAAACAAAACAACAATGTCACAACCTCGCCTGTTTTTTTTTCATTTTTGTTGTTTGTTCACCTTCGTAAGATGAAACCACACAGATTATTTTAATTTTTAACCTCTTCTAACGCGATAACTATGCAGTCGATTTGCATGCATCTCTAATAAGTTGTAGCTCTTAATGGAATGTATCGCGTAATGAGCGTGATTTATGTATGCATTTAATTAACTACTAACCTATTAGTACAATGCTGAGCCACCGGGTGATGTCGAGTTGGCTCGTGCTACTCAATAAGTTATTAAACACACAAATGCGCGCCTGGTACGAAACTTTCCCGCCGAATAATTTTTCTTCTAACCTTGACGTATCCATTCGTATCGAGCAGCAGGTTCTCAGGTTTGAGGTCTCGATAGAGAATGTCAAGTGAATGTAGGTACTCGAATGCCATTGTAACTTGTGCTGCGTAAAACTTTACCTGGTTCTCACTGAGTCGAAGAAGAATATTTGTGTGTGTGTGTGTTTGTGTGTGAAAGTTTAGACGCGTGTGTATGTAAATGTGATTGTGCGTGTGAAGATGTGTGAGAGAGAAAAAAGAACGGCGTGCGTGAGTGTATGATGAAAGAAAGTGGCAGCAGCTCACGTGAACTTCCTGGCCTTCCTCAGGTGGTTGAACATCTCACCGCCCCCGACAAACTCGAGCACCAAGTACAAATAGCTGTTGTCCTGCGTTCAGCATCGTCATCATTTTTTATTCAGTTTAAACGTACCGGTGCGAACGAGTATCAACTTTTTCAGTGGCGGATCTAGAGGGTCCGGGGGGCAATGACCCACCGTTGTGAGCTGTGTTTTTATAAAAAGTCAGTAAAACTCAGTTTTTGCAAAAAAAGAGCACTGTTTGACGTCGAAAATTGACCAAAAATTGACGAAAGGTCGCCAGTCTAATTTTTAATTTTGGTCACACTACCACAAACATTCAACATTTTTAACGAAGTTATATATGTAAACATTCTACAGACTTTGCCACCCCCCGCCAAAGTTGTCTGGATCCACCGCTGAGCGTTGTGTAAGTAAATATTTAAATCAGTATTCAATACGTAATACTCTTGAGATTGATGAAATTTGAAAAAATGTGGCTGTAGAAACCTTGAATGAAAACTTGAGAGAGATGAGGAATGGGAAGTTGCAGCAGTATAAAATCTTCTTCTCGTTCAACGTGTGTTCAACCTGCTTCAATTTTACAATCTGTCAAATCGATAAGTTGAAACCATCGTCATAATTAACATCGTCACATCATAAGCATCATCACCGCGTCATTTTCGTAAACACACCACTATCACTATCGTCATCATTATCTTAACTACCTTCTGCTTATCAAGTATTTTGATGGCGTAATAATTCTTTGAAGTTCTGTGCTGAACAAGCATCACCCTGCCGAACGAGCCAGTTCCCAAGGTTCTCAGTCGATCGAAATCATCTACCTTTCCATTCGACTGAAATGAAAATGCAACGGAGCTTGTGTTAACAAAAAATATTTTAAATAAATGTAGCGAAATAATTACGATCGGATTCTGTTCCCACTTCTTGTTGAATTCCTCCTTCGCCCCCGCCAAGAATTCCTGGACTGTTTTTGTTTGTTTGTTAATTTATTATGTATGTACGTGTACAAGTACATGCGGTGATGCTTAATAATCACATGCACAATGATTTATTTTGTGCAATGTAACTAATTCTATTTAAAATTGTGGGTTGATAAAAATTGCAAGGGGTCGTGCATTTGCGTGAGGCTGAATGCTATACTCTGATCACTTAATGACTTTTAATCCGCATGAATTAACTTTTTTCATAAGAATTTAGATTATCACATCTACTAAATATTAAACATTCATTTAATACTTAAATTATGCAGAAAAACTATGATTAAATAATTGAAATTTGAAAATGATTGTGTAAATACTTTCTTCTAGATCGGTATCTTTGGAACTTTTGTTTAGAGGCATATTAAATATTTCTCAATATTTCTTAATATTAATATTTAATAATTGTTCTTAAAAAGAAAGTTAATATGAAATCTTTAAAAAAGTGTTTTACTTGGCGATTGAGTGAATCTTGAAAACATGAACGTTTAAATTTTTGAAATTAGCAGAACGTAAAAATGAATTCAATTTGAACAAACGCATTTTACCCAAACTTCTTTAGAATTTCAATAAAGTTAATTACTTTTTTTTATAAATCAGTTGATGACAGTTTCTTAATAAGTGAAAAATTTATACTGTATTCTGCTCACTTGTCTATGTTTAAAAACTAATTTAAATAAATTCTTTGTTTTGTTTATGAGCACTCGCACAGCAAATAAGTTAACTTTTACACTAGAATTCCAATTAATCCCCAGTTCACTAACTCTTCTGCATGTTCTCGGCTGGGGTTCACTTGCAGAAAGTTTACACAAACACCGCAAATTGTTATAAAATTTGAATTAGCGATTAAAAATGGAGGACAGTCTGAGTCGAACTTCCATGGAGTCGGGGGTGGACGATTTCGTTCTGATAAACAATAGTGGAGAGCCCAAGTTGCAGATAACAACTTCTGGCGGGAGCAAGGAGTTGGAGGCCAACTTGAAGGAGGTTCTCTCCTGCGATGACGAGCTGGGCATGATGGGGACAAAAAATGCTGAAGATGGTTGGTACTCTGACAAACTTGCCAGACCAAGCTCATCATTGCATTGTTTTTTTTAAATTAAAATTTTTTATTGTATTGAGCTGATCAGGATGACAGTGCACTTCAGTTGATGAGTTGACTTTTTACTGTTTACAATAAGTGAATGTAATAAACAATGCAAAAATATTAAATTTCTATTCTAAGTTTATTTTTTATCATATATAAATTTATTAAATAAATTAATAAATGGGCTGCTGAAGAAATTTTAAATTTTGAATTGAAGGGCGTGACAGCCCACCTAAAGTGTCGCCATCTTCACCTCCACTGCCCTCCCCACAACTCATCATTCCCCCGAAGAGGTTCAACATCAATGACGATGATGACACCACACTCTTCACCGGCATGATCTATTTGGGCTGTGCAATTGTCAATGCACCGAGGAGCGAGTTGGAGGTCAATAGGAACATGGTCATCCTCAACAACCAATCAAATCAGGCGGTCCAAGTGACCCTTGCCGTTCCTAGCCACTCACAAGGAGCCGTCTAGTCTGCTCATTTGAAAATTTTTTTTATTTCATATATTTACATTTAATAATGGTTCTTGTTTATTATTATTGTTAATTTCTGGCCACTATCATCATTATCTCTTATCATTATCATGGTTGCCACAAAGATCATTATCATCATCACCAATCATCATCATCATCACACTTTCATCATCACTATCATGATTGCTACCATGATCATTATTAAAACTGTCCCTTTCAAGTTTGTTGGACCCGTCGACCAATCAAGAAATTGCATCATTCTGCATTCAGCAAATTTTATTTTGTGCCCGGGGTCCGAATGATACCAAAGAGTCTAAATGTTTTGCATTCACTTGCAGTCACAGCGAGACTGTGGAGACTGCCATATTTCAATGCCATGTCTTCAGGAGCGATGATGCTGATGTGGTGGGTGATGGTGATGCGTTGATAATGATGGTGATGGTGGTGTTGATAATGATGGTGATGGTGGTGTGAACGACTATGAAATTGCGCTAAATCTCCCAACAGAATGTCGGCAAGATATTGTACAACTTTGCAACGGCATTCAGAAGAACTTTGAAAGCACAACAACAACCGGCAACTTCAACCTCACAGATGGCCACAACATCATCCACCACACCAGCGACATCTGCAGCTGATTGCAATCTTTTTCACTTTGATGTCACCCTCGACATCAAAGAATTGGACCCTCGAAGTCAGACGTACGTCAGCTGCCCAAAAGATAAGAACGTGATCAAGATGAGGTGCAATGTTCCTAAGAAGGTCGTCATCCACATCTCTCAAATGAGTGGCCTCCAGTCTATCAAGTTGGACAAGTTAGTCTGATGATGGTGATGCTGATTGTGATGTTTGTGTTGATGATGATGATATGATATAAACTCAGTGCCAATGTGGTTGTAGTTGTGTTTTCAGAGTGCACTTTCACTCATCACCCATCATCACCTTTCGAATGTCGGGGTAGATGTTTCGGAGTGTTGCTGGGTGCGGGGCGCAACATAAAGACTAGTGAAATGAACTTGCTGGAGATTGAGGACTTCAATAAATCCGTGGACTGTTCGACCTTCAACATCGCAGCCACTTGGGACCCCACCCTCTCCCAGTACAACCTCATCAACGCTGAAACCCCTAAAGGTCACTCCATTCTTTCATCATCATCATCATCGTCGTCGTCATCATCATCATCGACAACAACAACAACAGATTCCAGGATGTTCATGACGGTTGCAGTTGATGTTGTCATGGACCTGATTAGAGAACCGATCAGGTGATCATTATCATCATCATCATCTTCATTACCATTGTTTTATTCTTTACTCCCAAGCACTTGTTGACCAGAGAGTATGAGAGGATCGTACCTTGTATTTTACATCTTATATATTTGCACTCTGATGTATGATTAATGATTTTCGATTGATTTCATTTGGATTTTATCTTTTCGGTCAATGAAAGAATGTTCCCATTATTATTATTATTATTAAAACTATTAAAGAAAAAACTAACCTAATATGGCGTTCGTCATTTCAGCTTTCACAAACGCTATCAAATTATAACCAATATTCATATCAAAGTAGCAAGAATGAAAAGAATCATTATTACTAGCTATTATTATTATTATTATTTTAATTTTTATTATTATGGTTTTTGTCATCGTTGGGAGGTTGGAAAATTATTTTGCAGATGGTTTCTGCTTGTGGCGCGAGTTTGAGTTTTTTTTATTGCGGACGATATTGAGATGAGACATCATTCCAGCCACACCACAAACCATCCCCAACTCTTAACCTCTTTTACACGCATGCACAGAACATTTAGGAACCATGTTTTAAAAAATCTCAATAAAGAATCAAATAATAATTTGGCGCAAAAAGTTGAAGAAAACAACGTCCTACCTCGGGAAACCGGGTCTCTGGACGCAAAACGAAGATTGATTGATTGAATAAACAATTGTTTCAGCGAATAAATAAATCAAATATCTAATCAAACTATAAGGTCAATATTCTCACGATCGTAAATGAATTATTTTGCATATAAACAAATTCTTTAATTTGCATGTAAGCCCGCTAACACGCTGAAAGTATGCTCTTGTGATGTTGTGCTGTTGTGCTGTGAGCATTAGCAGGCTCTCATGGTGTTTGCCGTGATTTTGCGAGACAGATTCCTCTTCGAAGTGAAAGTGAAAGTCTTCCCAACCAATCAGAAGTTCTGGTACTTCACCAACAAGTCCCTGTACAACAAGTTCGCCGTTCGTGTTAAGGAGGTTGGCGGTGATAATGATGATGGTGGTGATGACGATATTGGTGATAATGATGGTGATGAAGTAATGATGACGACAAAAATCAATTATGATAATGAAGATGGTTTCGTGTTATCTTTAATTAAATAGTAAGAATTTGAAAACCATTGGTCAGATTGAGAACGAAGCAAGTGATGTTATTGGTCCACTGAAAGAGGTGGTCAGTATCGAGAACCAATCAGAAGCAGAGAGGAGGAGCAAGGCATCAACATCGTCATCATCGTCCTCTGGCTCTTTGATGAACACGTCACTGTTTGGGGTTTTCCAGAATTCGAAGTTATTCAACATGAACACCATCGAATCCACATCTCCACGGGAGTGCGAAGAAAGTGGTGAGTGAGTGAATGAGTGAGTGAGTGAGTGAACGAACGAATGAATAAATATGGGAATGATATTATAATGAAATTAGATTCAAATATATCTCATGAGCAAAATTATAAATGAAAGTACGTAAATGCGTCACAACATCACCACCACCATCTTCATCTTCGTCACCATCTTCATCTTCACCACCACCACCATCATCTTCACTACCACCATCATCATCACCATTGCCGTCGTCATCATCACCATCACCAGACAACGACGAACCACTGTTGAGTGGGAGTGGTGCGGTCAGTAAGGAGGTGACCGATGAGGCTCTGCTCGATAGTTGGAAAGATGTTCTCATCAAGTTGGTCATCATGATGGTGATGGTGGTGGTGATGATTGCGACATTGGTAGGGAGCATTATTGTAAGGGTAGTTATGATGGTGATGATGAAAGTGAGTGAAAACATGGCGATGATGATGACAATGATGATGACGATGATGTATGCATCAACAAATCAAAAACAAGATGGCACCAGAATGTGAGTCAGCGACCGAAGACGGTGGAGGGGTTGGTGAGAAGGGGGGTGCCCGAGGCTTTGAGGGGGGAGGTGTGGCAGCTGTTGGTGGGCTGCACTGATGACCAGCAGATGTTTGAAACCTACAGACTTCTCATTGCTAAGGTTCATTTTTGTCTCACTCTCTCCTCATCTTCTTTTTCCGCCTCCTCTTCATCATCTTCATCCTCCTCATCTTCTTTCTCCTCCTCTTCTTCATCCTCTTCATCCTCACCGTCAGGACTCTCCATCAGAGGAAATGATCCAGAGGGATTTGAACCGAACCTTTCCAGCCCACGAGTTCTTCAAGGATGTCGGAGGGGGAGGGCAGGAGTCACTCTACAAGATATGCAAGGTGGTGGTGATGACGATGACGATGATGGGGTGATGATGGTGATGATGATGGTGATGATATATACGATGACGATGATGATGATATATACGATGATGGTGATGGTGATGATGATGATGACCACACACAGGCGTACTCAGTTTATGACGAAGAGATCAATTATTGTCAGGGTGTTTCGTTCTTGACAGCTGCTCTTCTGCTACATGTCGGTGGTGATGATGGTGATGTGGTTGTGGTGATGATGATGATGATGATGTGGTTGTGATGATGATGATGATGGTGTGGTTGTGATGATGATGATGATGATGGTGTGGTTGTGATGATGATGATGATGATGATGGTGTGGTTGTGATAATGATAATGATGATGATGGTGTGGTTGTGATAATGATGGTGTGGTTGTGATAATGATAATGATGTGATGATGATGACGATCAGATGCCCGAGGAGCAAGCCTTCTGCGTGCTGACGAAGATAATGTACGACTACAAGCTGCGAGATCTCTTCCGACAGGACTTCGAAGACCTCCACCTCAAGTTCTACCAACTGGAGCGCTGCATGGAGGTGCTGATGACGATGACAATGATGATGATGGCGATGATTATCAATACATTAATATAAAATTATAAAAGAATATTATGATATTAATCACCACCATCAAACCAACCGACCAATCACGACACAAATCAACCGACCATTCACGACGAAGGACCAACTGCCCGACCTGTACGATCACTTCATGGACCTCGGGCTGGAGGCCCACATGTACGCCTCCCAGTGGTTCCTCACCCTCTTCACCGCCAAGTTCCCCCTCTTCCTCGTTTTCTACATTCTCGATCTCTTCATCAGCGAGGTGGCGATGATGATGATGATGTTTATGATGGTGATGTTCGTTGTCGCTGATGATGATGTTGGTGATGATGTTGATTATGATGATGATGTTGTTGATGACTTTCACAGGGCATGAGTACAATATTTGGGATTGCACTGGCCCTTCTTAAGGTTCCTCTTCATCATCTTCCACCACCATCATCATCATCATCAACCATCATCATCATTTTCCAACATCATCATCATTTTCAACCATCATCATCGTCTTCGTCGTCGTCATCATCACCACATTAACTCTTTCTCTTTTGTTTCATCTTCGTCGCCATCTTGAAATCCAGCGTCATCATTTTAATAATTACGAGCATCACTGATGGGGCTCCGATTGGTATATCATGTGCAGCAAGCATAGACAGTTGGGCAACTTAGAGAGACATAGACAATCAAACAGAAGCAAACAAGCGACCAAACAAACATGAACATCTTACAAACATCAAACACAAACAAATGTTTCAAACAACTACACAAACAACAAACACAAAGAACATGAACAGCACATGCAAAGGCGAACAAACAACGTACGCAGATGTCTCGCAAGGACCTACTGACACTGGACTTCGAAGGCGTCCTCAAATACTTCAGGGTGCATCTACCCAAGAAGTACAGGTGCGATGAGGTCTCCAAGGAGATGATCAATATGGCCATCTCGCTCAAGGTTCATCACTTTTATCACCTTCATCATCATCTTCATCACCATCTTCTTCATCTTTATCATCATCTTCATCATCGTTATCTTCACCATCTTCATCATCTTCATCATCATCAGCCCTCTAACAAGAAGCTGAAGAAATACGAAACAGTCTTCAAAACTTTCAGAGAGTCACAACTCCAGCAGGAAGATCCGGTCGATAGGCTGAAGGTAGGAGGATGATGATGACGATGATGAAGATGGTGATTATGGTAATGATGATGATGATGACGATGATGATGATGACGTATGCAGCGAGACAACAAGCGCCTACAAGAGACGAACATGAGGCTGGAGAGAGAGAACGATGACCTGGCCAGTGAACTGGTCAACAGCAAGATCCAGCTGAGAGGAGAACTTGATAAGGTGAGAGTGTCCTGCCTGGTGTTGATGATGATGGTGATGATGATGATGATGACGTAGGAAATGTAGTTGTTGTTGCTACTGATACTTTCGATAATGAGGAGACCCAATGAAAAAGCTCACAATGCTGTGAAGGAGCGCTCTAAATTTTCTAGTAAATGGCGAACGAAAAAATATTTGCGTCAAAATAATGATGATGTTGATGATGAAATGATGTTAATGTTGAAGGATGATGTTAAAAACCAACCAATCAACCAACCAATCAATCAACCAATCAATCTACCAGCCAACCAATCAATCAACCAACCGAATGACAGGTTGAAGACAAATATGACTACGTGAACAAGGAGTTGCTGCTCTGTCGTTCACAACTCGTCGAAGTGGAAGAAGAGAAGAAAAGATTGGAGGGGGAAGTTGGCCAGGTGGGTTAGGCGTTAGGCAGGGTTGGGTTAGGCCCGACAAGCTATTTTAAAAATTTTATTCATAATCTCAATTATATTATCACTACCATCGTCGGTATCTTGCATTGAATTAATACTAAGCCATTGCACTTCATATTTGGAAGTTAACAAAACTGATGCGGCTACGTTAAATGAAGCCAATGAAGCTACTGGTGCCACTGATTTCAACATGTTAAACAAATGAAATAAATTGAAACATTGAAAGAATTACCTGCTGTAAGGATGGAAGGAACAGACTGGTAAGATCAGTCATTCATGGTCAGATGATCTAAACACTCCAACCGAAGTCAAAAGTTTACCATTCTTACTTGTAAAAAAAATTGTGAAAAACTCGTGAAACTCTTCCTCGTCATGTTATTTCTTGTCAAGTGTGACTTCTTTCTTCTAATATATTGCGAAATAAATTTTCGCCTACCCCAGTGCAATAATGTCATTTCACGATTCTATTTCGTTCATCTTGCTTGCATGCACTGCTAATTTTATTTTAAAATTAAGAGACAGAAAAAATTCATTTTATTTCATCATCACCGCCACCACCACCACCGCCACTATCATCATCATCATCATCACCACAGTTGAAAGATCTGTGCAGAAGGGAATCGGAGCAGGCAACTTCCAACAACGCCAAAAATATGAACATCATTCAAGACTATAAACAAGTCAGCCAATTAACTCATCGCTTTCAAAATCAAGTCATCAAATCACCAGCGTGACTGTTGAACACGCTATGAGAGAAAAAGATAAATATATATGTATATATATATATATATATAATATAATATATATATATATATATATACATATATATATATGTGCATATATATAGAGAAAGAAAGAGAAAAGAGAGAGAGAGGAGAGGAGAGAGAGAGAGAGAGACTGGGATTGAATCTTTCACACACAAGTAGAGTTAGAGGTCTCGGAACTATCGTGTTAGTGTTAAAAAGGATGCCGATTTGATAATATGAATAAGGACAATAATTGAAAGAGTTTATAGATGATGCAACAGAGTAGAGACTGTATAAATGATTCACATTCAAGACATCAATCGTAGAGGTAGGTGAGCGGGAATTGAAATTTGTTCTCATTTTCCTCCAGTTTTTTTCCTCATTCCCGATTCTCTCCCGAATTCCCATTTAGGACAACGTTCCCGAAAATTCCCATTCCCTACTTACTTAACTCATTCTCGCATTCTCCCTTCCATTCCCTTTCGTTTCACATTTTCAAAGTTTTTGAACGTAGAAAACACAATTTAAAAAAAAATGTAAATTTACAGAGTTACATAGGATTATATAAAGTTATATAGACTTATACAGGGTTATATAGAGTTATATAGAGTTATATAGGGCTATATAAAATTGTATAGTAATAATAACAATAGCAAATGTTATTTGTAAATCGCAACTGAGGCGCCCTCGGGACCAAGAAATTCTCAATCAATCAACCACGGCGATATGAACCCAATGATAAGAATCAAATAATACAAACAAAAATTAAATTATAATTGTGATTGTTGCTGAATTAATGTAATAGAAATTAAAGGCAGCATGCAAAAAATATATAATTATTATCGATTAAGAGCTTGATTGAAATAATGAGTTTTTAAAATAGATTTAAAACCACAGAAGGAGCTGCAATTTCTGATGTCTGGAGGCAAAGAATTCCAAACAATTGCGGCAGCATGACGAAATGCTCGTTTACTAATGTTGGTTGAAGAAATATTTTGAAGAAGAACCGGTGCATTGGCAGAGCGAAGATATTGATTGTTGATATTTAGATGTATAGAGTTGTATAGAGTTATTAGTATTAATATACGCTTTTCAAATTGTGATCCCAAAAGCGCTCATTAGCAATGCTCAAAACAATTTATGACAAGAAAACGTTTCATTGGTCTAAGAGATAAGTCTTTAACAGCTTTTTGAAATTCTCGACGAAAAGACCAGGTTGTCGCAAGTAGCCCGCTAGACTGTTCCATACTTCTGGGCTAGCAACAAAAAAATTTCTTGAACCAATCTTTAAACGTGATGCCGGATGGTCCACCAAGTTTTATCGTCACCACAAATTGTGTGGCTTTGAAAACGAAACATGCAACGTGAAATGGTTTTTTCAACTTTATTGAAAAAACCATTTGTGCGTTATGATTTTTCAAATTAGAGCCCTAAATACGACGGAGAGGAGTGATTGTGTTTGATTCAATTTCTCAAGACTGATGTTATGGTGCTTAGGGCTTCTGGTTAGTTGTCCTCTTACTAAACTTCAATGTTCATTTAACAGTTTGAAATTTTCTAAATTTCATTAAATAATTTAGTGTTCCTTTGTTTTTTTCTTCAATCATAACAACCACAATGGAGGCTGGATTGAAGTGAGTTTGTAGTGTTAGTACTTGAGATTTGATGCTGGTACTAATGCAGAAGACGCAAAAGTCTTCCTTTTCTCAGTGCTGTTAGGAAATTTTCTAACTCTGTACAGTCACGAACGAATGGCATGTTTTTTGTTCTTGTAGTTAAGTCAAATTATAAAGCAAGGTTGAATTTTTCTCCGAGTGTCGTGGCTCGGAGTTGGGGTCAGAAGATTTTACTCGTAGTCGGTCGGCCGGTCACCCTGGTTGTTAGTGCAAATGAAGTGAAATTATCATTATCACCATAAACATAGTCATTCTCGTCATCATCACACCACCATCATCATCGTCATCAACATCGTGGCCTCAACAGATATGTTCGGAGTTGAGTATGAGGATTGAATCGCTCTCCACCTCCCACAAGAAGGAATTGAAGCTCATCAAGGTTCATCTCTTCCGTCAAATGTCCTCAATAAGATGCTGTTATAATAATAAACATATATATATATATATATATATATATATATATATATATATATATTATATAATAATTATTATCATTTCCATTTCCCTCCCCGCCGTTACTGTTGGTAGCCCTGTGCCATGGAGCTCGTGTTATTATTTATGCTGTAACATGGTTATTATGCTGTATGTCATTTCATTTCCGGCGACGGGTTCGCTCTCACTCTGGAATGAATGAATCTTCATCTTCGTCGTCTTCATCATCATCATATCTATAATCATAATCATTCTCGTGATCATCATCATTACCACTCTTCCAGGAAGTGGTGGAGAGATGTGCCAGCTGCAGGGATGTCATCGTTAGCAGGGATGGCAGCTGGAAGGATCCACCAACATCGCAACAACAAAACGCTCCAGCCAGTGAGAGTGCAGACCTCTCGAACGCCATCCAATCAGAGCAGGCCATCAGAGATCTCGAGTTGGAATTGGCTCAGACCAAGTTGGCTCTAGTCGAATGCGAATGCAAGAACCAAGAACTCATCCACCAGCTGACGTCATCATCTTCGTCATCACCAACTCCGCCTACATCATCGGCATCGTCATCGTTATCATCATCGTCATCATCGACCAATAAAAATAATTCCTGGCTCCAGAAAACATTAACCTCAATCAAAGAAGCTACCACCAATGTTAAGGCAGGCGGCATCACATTTGGAGGCAACTGATGCGCCGACGATGATGATGATGACGACGACGATGAAGACTATTATGTACGATGATTATTATTACTAAGGTGATATTATTGGTTACGAATCATTGTAGTGATAGCAGTGGTGGTAATATTTATACTACATACAGCTTGCACGTATTAAAAAACTTTTATCCATGTCCCGCTCTTTCTCTCTCTTATTTCATTGTGTGTGTGTGTGTGTGTGTGTGTATGTGTGTGTGTGCGTGTGTGCGTGCAATGGTGTAACGTGAAAAGAATAGATTTCTGAATTGATGTTAAATAAAATATCAACAAATATTCAACATAATTATTTATTCGTTTATTCATTAATAATATTTACTTAATCTTGACATTCCTTCATTCACTTATCTGACTTGTTCACGAGATGACGAAATGTTTTTTAGTGTTGCATGACAATGTTGTTGATGTTGTTGTTGTTGTTGATGATGTTGTTGTTGATGTTGTTGATGTTGTTGTTGATGATGATGTTGTTGATGTTGTTGATGTTGTTGTTGTTGATGTTGTTGTTGTTGATGATGATGTTGTTGTTGTTGTTGATGATGTTGTTGTTGATGTTGTTGATGTTCTTTTTGCTGATGGTGATGTTGTTGGTATTGTTGATGAAATAATGTTTTGAAGTCACCAAAATCAAAATGCAAAATCGTTTAATTAATTAATTTTTTTTTTATTTATTTACGTTTATTTACCTAATTTAGTTATTTATTCATTATCACATATTTGATCTGATTATGACACTTTCATTTGTTTTACTTCTCTAGAACAACAACAGCAACAATAGTAATAATAATTATTATTTTATTATTAATAATATTTTATGTACCGGTCAGACTCGGTGATAGCATCATTGAACATCAAATTGTTAAGTTTCAACTTTGAAAAAAAGCTTTGAAATGAATACTATGTAATATTTCCTGTAGAATTCATACAATACTATATATATATATATATATATATATATATATAAATATATATATATAACGAAATTTAATTATTGTAAGCATGAAACGCAAATTGATGTGCCGCGAACAATAGGTAGGACATCCATTTGTGAATATTTATATAGCACACTGTTTTTCCTTTTTACGTTTTTATCTTTATTTACTCATTTGTTCACTCATTCATTCATTCATCTATTCACACATTTATTCATCCACTTATCCATTTATTCGTTCGTTCATCCATCCATTCATTCATTCATTCATTCACCTGTTCTCTTTTCAGTTGTGGCGTTTGTTTTCCTGTAAAATAAATCAACGATTGATTTTATCTTTTTTTATTATTTATGTTATTTTTATTTCTTTGTTATTTTCTATTTTCGCTTTCATTATTTTATCTATGGATCATTTTTTTATTTTCTGTTGTGGAGGAATTGTCTTTAATCCATTTTTTTATGTTTTTCGTAAAACATTTATTTATTTATTTATCTGTCAGTTTTAATTTTGCTTACTATTTTGTCTTCATTCGTTCGTTCGTTCGTTTGTTCATTTATTTATCATTCATTTGTTAATTCACTCAATCATTCATTCATTCACTCGTCCGTTCATCCATTCATTCACTCAAAAATATTGTTAACTATTTCAGCCCGTCATCCCTTCATAAATCGATAATCTATTCATCCATTCTTTCAGTCAATCATTCATTCATTCATTTGTTCATTTCTACATTCTTTCATTCATTTCTTCATTCATTCACCGATTCTTCCTTCCTTTCATTTATTTTTATTTTACTCTTTCAATCCATCATTAATCTTTCTTTTTTTGTGTTGTCCTAGTGACCTTTGTAAAATAATAAAATGAAATTTTTGTCCTAATCAATTTTTGTTTGCTAAATGAATGAATGAATGAACAAATAAATAAATAAATAAATAAGTGAATATTAATTAATTAATTAATTAATTAAACAGTGGAAGAATGTATGGAGCTCTTTATATTATCGCGTCATTGTTGTTGATGGTTAATAAATTATTCCCAATAGTTATATCTTTTTAAACATATTCACTTCATTTTCAACATCATCGATATGACCATTGTCGTCCGTCAGCTTTATTAACTCCATCATCTTCATCCTCATCATCGTCTTCTCTTTCCTCATCATCTTCTTCCTCACCATCATCTTCATCGTCATCTTTCAAAATGGCGTCAAATCGACATTTAGGAGATTAGGAATCGAATTGTTTAATGACCGATGTTTGTTAAATCTCGAATGTGGGAACTCCGAAGGATTCATAGTAGGTAAGTTGTCCCACGAAGAATTAATTAACGGACGAAGTTTGTTTGACGCACTTGAAATAGTAAAACTGGGCAGAAGCGAATTATCGTAAGACGGTCCCATCAAATCATCGCCCAGTGGTATGTGGGCGGACGACACGAAGGATAGAATTGCTAGTGGCAAAATAGATACCTTGCAGTTCGTTTTAGACCACAAGTTGAAAAAAAATGAGAAATTCATTGGCACGAAAGTTATTACTACTGCAAGCAAGTCGACAAATAGCTCATTAATATGATATAACGTGTTTGACCACTTGGACTCGAAGGAAACCAACGTTCTATCTTTCTAACTCGCCTTCGAACGCTCGAGTGCTTAAGGGAAGAAGGGGGTTGATGTCGGCAAGCAGTTCTCGTGCCGAGTGCAACTCTTGAAACTCTTATCTTGATATATATCAATAACATCATCAGATGTATGCGCTCTTTCAAATTAAATAAATGTTCTGGTAAATAAAAAGTAATTTTTATTGATTGATTGATAAATCATAAAATTAATCAAACGCTTGAGGAGAGCAGCCCACGGAGAACTAATATTTTTTTATTGTTCTTTAAAGTAATACGATGTTAAAACCTGAAACCAATCAAGCGAGATAAATCGTGAAACTTGGAAGCAATCCAACACACAAAAATATTAACCTTAAAAGTTGAAACCGATCAAACCGAGGAGAGCCCGCCCGAACGAGAAAATAAAAACTTGAAGCCATGATTTGCATTTGAATTTATGATTTTTCTATAAATTTATTGTGATTTGTTTCCAAGACTGGCTGATCCAGATGAACTAATTGGAACTTTTTAAGAGCTATCCAGCTTTTCTCTAACAAAATAAAATAAAACAGAAATAGAATATTCCTCCTCTCATCTTTCCACCCACACGTTGTAAGCCGCCGTGAAATGTTGTTAATGTAAAAGCGTGGTGCGTGTTGACGTGTTGAAACTCAGTGCGTGTGCGTGTGCGTGTGCGTGCCTCTGGGGTGTTTATTTATAACTCTGAAGATCGAGCTCAACAATGTATCATGCATTTGAATGACTAAGAATAAAACTATCATTGTCGCCATCATCATCATCGTCATCAATATCATCATAATCATCACCACCATCATCATCATCGTCATCATCATCATCATCATCATCATCGTCACCATCATCATCATCATCATCATCATCATCATCATCATCATCGTCATCATCATCAACATCAACTCATCATCATCAACATCAACTCATCATCATCAACATCAACTCATCATCATCAACATCATCAAAACGCGAACGAGAAGCAAACGTATGTTTCGCAGAATTGACCTGCCCACGCAAACAACTTGGCGAGAATATTTTGAATTAAAAAATAAAAGAACACACCCACACACGTAAATGTAGGTAGGTGTCGGTGAAGGCTGAACTTCCATCTAATCTCGAACGTTGCTTTAAGTTTGTTTAAAAAACAAGTTTTTTAAATTTATTTGTTAATTAATTAATTTATTTGCTAATTAATTGATTTAATTTATTTTTTACTTTTTTACTTTATTTTACACGATATAAAATAAATAAACACTCGTCAGTTCGTTTTTAAAAAGTTAGTAGGTGGCTGCTCTGTTATGTTTGTTTGTATGCGTTGGCTGTGTGTGTGTGATGTGAATGTGTATTCAATTAATTAATAATATATATATATATAATATATATAATGGTATATATATATATGTATATATATATATGTATATATATATACATATAACCAACATATATATATATATATGTATATATATATATATATATATATATATATATATATACTAATAATTAAAGTAATTATGAATCTGTTGTGACTTGTGTTTCGTGGGATGTATCTTATATTATAGAAAATGTAATTTTAATCCTATGAATTTATGTATAATATATTATATATGTATGCATGTATGACTATGTATGTATGTACGTATATATGTATGTATGTATAACATGTAGTAGTGTAGTCATTTATTTATATGGCACACACATACAATACAGACACCCATTTGTGTAGGAAGCTTACTTTGGTTTGTTGTGTTTGTTTTGTTTGGTTGTTAGTTGTGAATTTTGTGAGCCAGCAGGTTGAATAAAATAACTGTATAATAATATTAACTACACATAAATTAAATAATTATTAAATGAATTAAGTATTCGAATTAATTAATAAGTATGTCTGTTTAGTTGACTTTTTGTTTTCTTGTTTCCAAATCACTGTTTAGTAGGAGTTTACTCTCTATCTATACTATATACTATATAGATAGATATATTATATATAGTGTTTATTTAAAGTTCAGGTGTGTTTTTTAAATTCTACAATCATTACATTACTTTCTCAGGTCTTTAATAATTAAAGTCAATAATATTTATTGAAAAAACTTTGCTATGTATGTGCCTCCTTCGTTTATTTTGAATTCAAAAATTCAAATTCAACAATTATTTTTTTTTATAATTTAAGGTTGCCAAAGAATAAACTATCAAACACATAAAGAAGAAAGATGGTGTTTGAGATTGTTGAGAATTCTCCTGTTGAAATTTTAAGTTTTGAAAACAATTTGCTAAACAACTTTGGTGAGGATGAAGGGACAAATTGTCAGCAAAACTCAGCCACCCCTGCAAACGACAACAACAACCTGAGAACGAATAAAAATGGTGAAAGAAATGGTGCTGCTGATGGATTGATGATGGAGGAGGATTCAAAAAAAGATGGATGTTCATACTTGGATGGTTCAGCAGGCAGTTTAGACGGCACCCTTAACACACCTAACTTATTTCAATACAAAGATCTTAATTGCTTCAACTTCCAAGACCACCAACCGTTTCACCCGCCTTCTCCCCATCAGCCCATCATAGGTTGTTATCATCATTATTGTTTCTACTTTTAATATTTGTTACCACATTCATTATCATGTTTTAATTATATTATACCATATTATGTTATATTATACCATATTATATTATATTATAATATATTATATTATATTATATTATACTATGTATATCATTCACTCATTCAATGTCATCAGCTCGGTCATCAAACATTTATTAATAATTTATTGAAATGAATAAATTGAATTTTAAAATTTTAAAAACATTATCCAACAAATGGATGAACAAACAAATGGATGAACAAACAAATGGATGAACAAACAAATGAATGAATGACCGAATGTAATGCAACCAGCAACAATTGAAGCAGAAATGAACCTTCCAACGAAGGAACCAAATGGCTCCTTTTTAACTAGGCACTTTGTTTATAAGGCCACTCTAACTGCCACCACTGTCCAGTCTTCATCATTATCATCATCTCCATCGTTATCATCATCATCACCTGCATCATCGTTATCATCATCATCATCTATTTTATCATCACTATCATCTCTCTCCCCATCAACTTCCGGCCAAAAAGTGATGAACATTACGTCACCATCATCATCATCATCATCATCACCATCCCTGGCATCATCATCATCACCATCTCTGGCATCATCATCATCATCATTATTGGCGTCTACATCATCGTCATCGTCACTTTCCACATCAACAACCCCATCAACAACGCTGGAAACCGACAGCATCTCCAACAACAACAACAAGAACATCAGGAGGCTTTCCATTCCATTTAATGTGACATTGAAAACATCACACACGTCAACAGCATCGTCAATGATGACATCAACTCAGCAGAGTTCAAATGTCATGGATGTCCTTGAACTCTTGAGTCCGTTTTTGAAAATTATAAATAAGAATCACACTGCCGACAACAACTCATCGATGCACATGTTGCAGGGCTACCAAATTGAGAGCAGTAGCAACGACAACATCAATAGCATCAACAACAATGTTCACAAAAACAACATTAGCAACAACAACAACGCCAGCGTCATTACAGAGGACAACTTGAAATCGGCTCTTCCACATTTTAATCACTCCAAGTACGATTTGAACAGGAAGATTAACAACATCATCTCCAACATTAACAACAACATCAATAAAATCAACGACTGCAACATCAACAGCAATGAAAAGAGAGATGGGAAATGTCTTGCGAGCCATCCGCAACAATATCAAAACGACCAGCCACTTATTCAGAAGGATATAAACAACAACGACATTATCACTAACCACAACAACACGATCAACAACAACAACAACATTTTTGATGATCAAACATTTTACTTAGCTGCTGTTGATGATGTGAAATGTGAGCCAGTTGATTTTTCAATGTCCCCACTCAATTTGTCGATTGAAAACAACTTCGATCATTCTAACAGTAATGACAACAGTAACAAGATTCAGAGTAACAGCAGCCCCGCTGACATCAACAACATCCACCCATCAACAAACAATCCCTATCAAAATTGTATCATTGACTACACAGTTTGCAACAACGTTAAAAACATCAACAACAACGACACCAACAGCAAGAACGACATGAACGTCAGCACAGTCAACAACATCAACAACAACATCAACAACAGTTCAAACAGACCAGGCAGTAATACCATCCCGCCAATCATCATATGCCCTTCCAGAGTTCATATCAAACGCAAATCATCAACAACAACATCAGCAGCAGCAACAACACCAGCAACGACACCAAAAATTCGTTCATTTGAATGCGTGGACTGCTTGAAGAGGTTTGTTCGAGCAGACGAGTTGACTCGACACCAGCGAATTCACTCGGGCATCAAACCCTACACCTGCAACTTCTGCGATCGATCGTTCTCCCGCACCGACCACCTGACCACCCACGTTCGCACCCACACCGGCGAGAAACCATACTGCTGCGACGTCTGCTTCAAGAGGTTTTCGAGGAGTGACGAGAGGACCAGACACATGAGGACCAGGCATGCCGTTGCTAGGTCAACTCAGCCTGCCAATCAGGGTGTCGTCTTAACTCAGGCAGCCGATCAGAGTGTGGGTGAAGGTCTTTGAGGAATAATTAAAAATTTGTATTTGTTGTTACGTAGGAAATGTCATTCTTCCGATCGTTAAGACGTTTTTCACTTTTTGAATTTTTCGTGTTATCTGCCCAGAACGTCCTACCTCGGGAAACTGGGTCTCTGGACGCTGAACGAAGATTGATTGATTGATTGATTGATTGATTGATTGGTTGACTGATTGATTGTCCAGAAGATTTCTACAAGGACCACTTGACGATTTGATTGTCCCTAACACTCACCTCTCAATAACTTGCGATGAATTTTTACAATATTTGGGTTGGGACGGTTCGAACAGTTTACGTTTGGTAATATTTTTAACTTGCGCACTTCCTACCGGGCATTTCAATGCCGGATGTCTGACGCGGTTTCTAGCGATAACGACAGCGACTGACACGCGGATTTTGCAATTGCACGAAATACTTTTGCATAGCAATAGTACACAATAACTTTTAAATTTTTGAGTCATATTTAAGAACCATTGTGCCAACGGAGCGGTTTAACCATTTAATACTACATTGATTGTAGTGTAACAGTGCATTTTAAGCATAAAACAACGTGGCAGCAAAAACATAATCGCCTTGAACAGTTGCTCTGAATTCTGAGTTGAAACTTGAGAAAGCATGAAAGTTGAGATCTAATAAATTCGATATAGTCTGTAAATTGTTTATTTGAAGAGTTAAACTTAAATTAAAGAAAAATAAATAGCTTTTCAATATTTAGTCTAGGAGCCAAAGCTAGATGCAGCAGAGTTTTATCATGAAAATGCCAATTTTTACAAATTTTGACGTTTTGTAGAACCCGGAAGATTTTTTTTGAATCATTTTGTAATCTACTAAAAATCTTGCGAATTTCGAGGTCTTCGGCCGAGAAAATCCGAAAAAATTTTTGGACGCTCTATCGTGTATTGAAGGGCTGCGTGTGAATGAAGAGCAATTTCCTTGAAAGACTTTGTTCATTTGTGAAGAGTATTCATCTTCGTCATGGTCATCGTATTCCTCATCTTAATCATCTTCACCCCCCCTGAACTTATCCATATTATCGTTTGCTGTATTTATTAATTAATTAGTTACTAAAATGTTTATTTGAATTTATAGTGTATTTGTAGTGATAATAATAATATTATTAATAATTAATTTTTTCGATAATAATAGTTATTATTATTATATTATAATAGTGGTTAATTTATTTGTTAAAATAATCATTGATGGATTCATTTGCTGGTTTCACGAACGATAAACGTTACTTTGTTTTAATATCATTAAGTGTATATTTGCGTGCGTGTACGTGCGTGTGTGTATGTGGTGTGTGTGTGTGTATGTGTGTGGTTGTAGTTGTGATCTTATTGTTTCCGATGTTATTGGTAATAATTTTGTTGATTTTGAAATTTGATGAGGCTTTTGTGAGGTAGCTAAGACGTTTGTGAGACATGCATTGTATTCGATCCCGTTGGGAATGATGATAATTTCCTAAAACTGGGACGAAATTAGGTGACAGAGGACAGTCTGTTTCTCTACCAACAATATGGAATGATCTTCTGACAAGTTGAAAGCGAATGGTTGATGTGAAAGATTTTAGGCGGGAGGTGAGAGTTGTTTATCCCGCAGCAGAACTTTTAATCAGAACCTTGATGTCGATAGAATGATTGTAATAGTAATAATAACAACGACAATGTTGGTATGGCTGATTTTGTTCTCTTCGGTCATGTCCGCTGTTTAATCGATTTATATTTGTTGTCAATATTTTAATATTTATTGTATGTATTGCTTATGACATATATTATATGGCCTTACGTAGAATTTCAATAGATGGATGGATTGGTTGGGTGAATGAATGGAATAATGAATGAATGAATGAATTGATGGTTGGATCGGTTTTATAATGAATTTCACATTAATGTTCAATTGAACTCCGATTGCATTAGAAATAAAATGAACTGACAGCAAATTGCACAGATTTGTTACGTCAATTGGTCGATTTCGATTTTCCACATAAAACTGTTTTTTCAGTCGTAAAACTGAGTTTTACTAATACAAATACTGTTCACAACGGCCCGGACCTCCAAATCCGACTCTGTAAGCGTATCGCGTGCATTTAAAGTTGTCTACTTACAAATTATTTCCATTTTTCGTTCTTTTTCCATATTTTGTTCTTTTTCCATTTTTTCCCTTTCGTTTTAGAAACCCTTTTTTGAGCTTTGCCGTCATCCTTCTCATCTTCGCCACCATAATCGTCATTATCATTTTTTACATTCTTATTTTTCATTTTCGAACGTCTACCAGCACCAGCAGCAGCGTTGGCCTCGGCAGCTGCTTTTTGCTTGGCTTGTTCTCCAGTCATCCTTCTTCGTCTTTGTTCTTCTTCAGCCATCCTTCTTCGTCTTTGTTCTTCTTCGGCCATACTTCTTCGTCTTTGTTCTTCTTCGGCCATACTTCTTCGTCTTTGTTCTTCTTCGGCCATACTTCTTCGTCTTTCATCTTCTATCTGAGCAGCTCTTTCCCTTTCAAGACGAATTTGTCGATCTCTTTCGGCCTCTTCTTCGGCTGCCAACTTTTCTTTCCTGATTCTCTCCTCTTCCAACTCACTCGCTTTCTTTCTTTTCGTAATAATGAAAAATGCACCAAGGCCAAGTATCAGGGCAACAATTAATCCGGCAGCTGCCATTTGTGACGTGGTCATGCCAGGTTTTGCTGCTGATTTCACAGAGTCGGGGTTTCCAGCTGCGGTTGTGAAGAGATTGGCCAGTTGTTCGTCGGATATGTCATCTTCGAACACTTCCACTTGTGGAGGGCCGACTGCGGCTGCTGGTGGGACAGCTGCTGGTGGGACTCCAGGATTGAACATGTTATTATATTTAATGTAAAGATCCATTCCTTTATCTGAAGGTTAATTTTTAGTTAATTGTTTAAAGTCAGCGCAATGCTTTCATTCTCGTTTCATTTCATTCATTATCATCATTAGATTCATTCTTTTTGTCTGTTGATGTGCATTTTCTGTGTGATTTGATGTGCATTTGATGTGCATTTTGATGTGCATGTGCATTTGATGTGCATTTTCTCATTATCAGCATCATCACATTCTCCATCCCCTTCATCATGAACAGCAGCAGCAGCACTTTCGTGTCATCGCACCATCATTCCCAATCTTAACATTTTTTCACGACTCTTTAAATATCAGGCACTACCACCACTATCTCTATCAACGTCGTTATTATATTATTTTTGGCAACAACAAATAATTACTTGCGATATCAAAGCCTTTGTCTAGCCCCTTTTCCATTGCGCCTACAAAATCCTCCAGAGTTTTGTTCTTAAACTGGTTCATAACGAAGTCTTTTGTTTTGCGGACTATTTTTTTTTTCCCGGGAGGATTACCATCTCCTCGGCCATCACCTTTTCCACTTCCTGGTTTACTTCCTGAATAAGTTATGATTAAATATTTGACGTTTAAATTTTGTAATAAATATCGATCGTGCAGGTTTCAATTACCTTTTTACGATGTTCATTTGGAAATGCAAAATTGAAATGAAAAAATATACTACCTGAATCTGTGAAATTCATTGTTCGAAAACAAAGGTTTGCGGTCTAAATTTTCAATTGATTATTTTCAATTAAATCCAAATTAATTTTAATTCACGAATTTTCAGCGATTATATACCAGTTAAATGATTATCGAGAGCTTGGTCACTTTACCTTAGTTAATTTTATTTATAAAAACTTATAGTTAGAAAATTTATTTTAGTTGAGTTTATTTGTTTAATACTAATAAGTTAGATGATTATTTATTTATTGGCTTGTTTTAATGTGTTGTTTATTATTTATATTTGTTTGTTTATGGGATGTGGTTGACGTCCAGATGACACACGCACGATCAATTTGGAATGGAAATATCTCAATAGGATCTCCACCCAAAAGAAAACATTAGGTCATGACTGTTTGCGATGGAATTATGATCTAACTGCAATAAAAAACATGATGACTTCATCCAAATTTACACAGATGGTTCAAAAGTACGCAATTCAACATCATTAGCAGCCGCCAGACATTGTCGGCTTAACCATGTCTCCTGCTCTAAATAAATACGGTTTACAACATTTCCACGTTGTTGAGTGTATTTTCAAAAAGTTAATTGATGATAAGTGGGCAAAAATGTTCAATGATATATATATATATATATATATATATATATATATATATTTATATTACGTATACAATTTTCTTTAAAAGTATGCATGCAAATATATATATATATAGCGCAGTAATATATATATATATATATATATATATATATATATATATATATATATATATAGTCGGGTGCGAATATTTAAAGTTGTTCATTTTTAAATTATTTCCCCTTTCCCTTCTTTTTACTATTTTTACGTTTTTTACTTTTTTTATTCTTTTTCTTTTTTTTAGCTTTGCCTTTTTTGGAAGCGCTTTTTTGAACTTTGCCTTTGTCTTCCTTCTCGCCATCATCATCGCTGTCGTCATCATCATCACTATCGCTGTCGGCATCATCATCATCTTTCGCACTCTTTTTTCCGTTCTTTTTCAATTTTTTAAAAGGGGCTGTAGCAGCAGCAGAAGAAGCTGTAGTAAAAGCGACTGCCGCTGTTGATGTCGAGGAAGTCGCTGTTGACGCCGCGGCAGAAATTTGAGCAGCTGCGTTTTGCTTGGCTTGTTCCTCAGCAGCCGCTTTTTGCATGGCTTGTTCCTCAGCAGCCGCTTTTTGCTTGGCTTGTTCCTCAGCAGCCGCTTTTTGCTTGGCTTCTTCTTCAGCCATCCTTCTTCGTCTTTGTTCTTCTTCGGCCATCCTTTTTCGTCTTTCTTCTTCTATTTGAGCAGCTCTTTCTCTTTCAAGACGAATTTGTTGATCTCTCTCGGCCTCTTCTTCGGCTGCCAACTTTTCTTTCCTGATTCTCTCCTCTTCCAACTCTTTCGCTTTCTTTCTTTTCGTAATAATGAAGAATGCACAGAGGCCAAGTATCAGGGCAACAATTAATCCGGCTGCTGCCATTTGTAACGTGGTCATGCCAGATTTTGCTGATGATTTATTGCTGGCTTTCTGTTCAGTTGTAGTAGGGTTTTCGGTTATGGTTGTGAAAAGATTGGTCAGTTGCTCGTAGGTTAAGTCGACAGACGCTGTCTCTACTGGTTTAGGGTTCACCACTGGTTTACGGTTCACAAGCTTATTATGCATATCCATCCCTTTGTCTGAAGGTTAATTTTTTAATTATTCAATGTCATTGCAATTGATATTAGAGCATTCGTCATCATATTCATCATCACATTCACCACCATTGTTTCGTTCTTCATTGTCATCATCATCCTCTCTGTCGTCAGAACCGGTTCTGGACCATCATCCACGTACGTACAAATTAAAATCGGCGCTCTGTTGTATTAACTTTATGCTCTAAATTTTAAATGACATATCGACGTGTTTTTTTTAGAAAAAATTACCAGCTTTTTCTGTACATCACTGAGCGGGCAAGTATTTAAAACGCAAAAAATAAATAGGTTAGAGAGTTTAAACGACTAAATGTATGCCTTGGTTGTAGCTATCCACTTAAGAGCATACCAGTGTGGAACTCATTTTCACTCGAGGTTGTCAGCGCAAAATGTGTCATGAAATTTAAAATTCTTTTTGATATATATAGTTACAACTTTAAAATTAAGTGAACTTTCCTTAATATCGTCTTTATCAGTTGGCCAAACAACAGTTTATAGCAAACTTCAAAATTGTACCCGATTTCACAGAAAAAAATCATTTAAATTGAAATTTGTCTCAGTTACTTCACTAGAGAAGTATTCTCAGTGCTGCAAAACACAATTCGAATGGCAAGCAAAGGCTTGTGCGCGAATTAGGCTGGGTGATATTTTCGTTACAGTTTTAACATTAAAATTGTCAAACTGATTAAGTTGGAAATTATGTGTTATGTTCTTGTTTGTATTTGTTTGTATTTTTTGCGTGCATGCAGGGATAGAGTTGATGATGAGTAAATTTGAATGAATTTATATTGTCATATATAATCATATTAAAAGTAGGTTACGATTACCTGCTGAAAGTTTGAAATAAAAATTTGCTCGACAAAGCTAGCTTGAAAATTTTTGTTGTAATAAAAAATTTTCAGTTTATTTCGTTTAAACGAAACGGTATTCCTCAAATAACCAACAGAGTATTTTTTGATTTAATTTTTAAATAATATATCTTTAATCTAATTTTGTTTGAACTTAAACATATCTTTAGAAAACTTGAAATTAAAATGCTTGCATTAATTTTATAACTAGGAACTGAGGAGCGACCAACTGTATCAACCAATAAAAGTAAAATAATTGCAGTTTAAAATAAAAATTGTGAAAACCTTCCCCAATTGCTGTGTGGTAATATGAATTAAACACAAGGTGCCTAATTTGGTACCATTAGAGAGACGACTCAATTGCTGTTGGATATTTTCGTACCATGAATTGTTTTCGTGTATGTTAGTATGTGCAAAATATATATCTCATGTAAACACGTCGAAATTTGTATTGTTGAGTGTTGTTGTGTATTTGAAACTTTAGTATCTTCACCGGGTAATCATTTGGCCGCCTCTCAAATTTGGTCGCTCAGGTGTGCTGCCTCCCTCTCTACCCTTGGCCCTGTCGACTATCATTATCATCACCATCTTCATCATCATGTTCGTCAACATGTTCACCACCATCTTAATCATCATGTTCACTAACAAGTTCATTGTTACATGTTTTCACGGTTCTTTCTTGGCACATCCGCCACCATCATCATCATCATCAACGATATTATTTTCATCATCGTCATCATTCTAGCAACATCGAATAATTACTCGCGATAAGAAATGTTGCGTCCATGCCACTCTCAACTGAACCCAGGATGCCGATAAGAGTTTTTTCCGAAAAAAATTTTTTAGCTCCGTCTTTTATTTTACCAGCTATTTTTCTTTTAGTCGGACCGGTCCATCCCAGACCATCTATTTTCGGATCCTGCCAGTTACCTGCTTGCCCCCCTCCTTGACCACTTCCTGGCCCCCCTCCTTGATCACCTCCTGGTCTCCCTCCTTGACCACCTCCAGGCCTTCCTCCTTGACCACCTCCTGGCCCCCCTCGACCACCTCCTGGCTTTTTTCCTTGACCACCTCCTTTATGTTTTCCAAATATATTAAAGCGACTGCCCTTTCCCCCTCCCCCTTGGGCTCCTTGATTTCCACTTGGAGGTTTCTGATTCCCACTGGAAGGTTTCGGTTGGCTTTCTTTAACAAAAAAAATATTTTGTAAGGAATATTTTATCTGCAAATTCTGCATTGATTGCAAGAAATTACAATGAATAATAGTACGGAATTTAATTGTTTGATTATGATTATCTTTTTGGGAGTGATGAAAATGAACGAAATTTTTTTACTTGTGCTGAAGACCATCGTTTGAGAGCAGTCGTTTGCAGTCCGCCAGTTAACGTCTTAATTTTAATCAATTAATTAATTAACGATCAACTGATCTTGAGTTGCTTACTAGCGAGAATTTAATAAGTTAACTTTATTAATTTGTGATGTTAATTTAAGTTAATGATTGCGAGTTCATTTAAACAAAAATCGATTTGGTTGGTGATAAAAAAAGTCATGTTGCTCACTGCTATTTATTTATTTTTCAGTTTGTTTTGATTTATTTCTTTGAGTTATTTGTTTGTTTACAAATTTTATTGATTGTTTATCGGATGTTAAAGTGACGTGCTGAAAATTCGAGATGAAAATCTTTTTGAGACCTAGCAGGCAGTCCCTTCTTTACAACTGCGTCTATGGCACATTTCCTAATTCGACAGGTTATCGTACAACAAACAATAAATAAAACACCTCGTATGAAAAGTAAATTAAAAGACCATCATAAAGAAATGATAAAGATGTTAATAATGCTGCTACTGCTGATGATGAGAAGGTTGAATGCAGCATCGTTCCAGTTGGTGCTTGCAACACAAACTCCAAAACCTCCGATTTCCCGTCGTTGTTGATAGCTTGGCACTCGTACTTACCTGAGACTGGCTTGTCCCTTTCAATTGATTCAACGTGGGTGACGGTGATTGTCTTTTTGCCGTGGCTTCTCGGTTGAAGGAGACTTTGATTGTCAGGGAAGGTGATGTAGATGTCAGCCGGTGGATCTGCAGTGGCCTGACACTTGACCACAATAGAATTGTTCTTGAGTAGCAAAACGAAGAGACAGTTGATGTAGGGAAAGACTCGCGTGTCGTAAACTGGCTGATCGTCATCGTCATAATTCATTTTCTCGTCGGCACCCGTTTGCACGTTCCTCTCATTTTTTGACTTTAAAGTATTATCTTTAGGCTGTGTCTCTCTTTTATCGATATGCGAGTTGTTAGCGATGACGACCCAAAGGGAGGCCTATTTACCGATATATAACACTTACTTATGGGTTGAAGCAGGGATATGCAAAGAATCTCAATTCTTTCGTCTTTTAATTATTTTCGGTAATCTCGATTTTTTTTAATTTATACCAAATAAAAGTTATTAATTACCAAATTGAATAACAATTTTGAAAAAATTTAAATTTTAACATTTTAAATAAAAGCAATATTTCGTAATTAGTAAATATACGATCGTAACTTTTGACCATGTAACTAGAATAAACATAACGGCCTTCGCTCACTTTTAGCGGTCTTTTTCAACAAGGAGCTTATTTCCGTAGGGGAGTTGGAGGGTAATTTTTTTATCGTTCGAGTAAAAATTAGCGATCGTATATTTATTTCGGAATATTGCTTCTATTTAAAATGTTTTAAAAGGTTTTAAATTTAAATTTTTTAAATTATTATTCAGTGTGGTAATTAATTACTTTTATTTGGTATAAATTTTAAAAAATAAAATCGACATTACCGAAAATAATTAAAAGTTGAAATTTGAGGTTTTTTGCGTATCACTGCTTCAGCCCATAAGAAAGGGTTAGGTAAATAGGCCACCCCATGCTTTTGACTCGAACGATAAAAAATCACTCTCCTCCCCTCCGGAAGTAAGTTCCTTGTTCGACCGTTAAAAGTTAGCGAAAGCCGTTATATTTATTCTAGTTATATGTATCAAACAGTATCTTTTTGAAAAAAGTAGTATCATAAAATGAATAAAGATACTTTTTTTCAAAAATTTAAAAAATTCTCAATTTGATTTCATTGCGATATCGATGATGATGATGATTGCGACCTGACTAATTAAAAAACATCAAATAAAATTTATAAAAACGGATGGGTGTATATCGTTACGAAATCGTTGGGGGGAAATGACGTCATGTTAGCAGTAGCTATTTTACTGCATGGTAGTTAATCAGCCTGTATAAAGGTTATTCAATTCTTATTAAATAAATTTGACCAAATATCATACGCAGGCAAAACTAAATAAAGAAATATATATATATATATATATATATATATATATATATATATACTCACCATGCATACACAGAATGGTGCCATTAAGGACCATATGGAACAGGTACATCATCAACCGCTTACGAGGAACATATTGGATCCCAACACAACGATCCTTGAATATGAACCCGATCCAGTTCGCCTCAAAATTAAAGAAGCCCTTCATATCAACAAGCATAACCCTCACTCAATAACAATA